CTTGGAAATTCGCACTGTTGGAAATTAATGTTGCCGACTCATCGACTTGGAAAATTACCATTTTTATCGTTGTCCTGATGTCACTGTCATACAGTCTCTTTTCGGAGGCTTGTGTTTACGGACCGGAAGAGATTCTTTTTGTTGTCTCGAGTAGCTCAACAGTCAAGTTTAATATCGCAATTTTTGCGTACAGACATCATGTACAGGCTGAAAGAATTTGCATCTATAATAAAAGGATAGGTGAAAGGGCCATGGGCTGATTTCCAACCTTCATATTTAATGAAAGGAAAAACGTACGGATGAAAGAATACTCTTACGTAAATCTAAAATCATTTCTTTCCGCCATGTTCTTGATTTAATCATCTACCAAATTCATGAAATAGTATGGTGATTTTCTAAGCGCATCTTAGATGTGGAACAAGACCGAAAGCATAGGGCATCCAGTGAGGATCGAACTCATTAATCATTTGTAATGGTTCTAGCGAGACAACCTTGTTAACCATTACACCACGTCAAGGTGCAGCTTGATTTTTATAAGCGTAGCTTAGATGTGGCACAAAGCCGAAACTGTAGAGCACCCGGGGAGGATAGAACCTACGACTCAGTCGTAATTGATAAGGAAGACAAGCTTGTTAACCATTACACCACGTCGAAGTGCTCCTACCAATTTATGGGCTAGTATGTATTCCTTATATTTGTTTTATTGAAGCATTCACACTATCTATATAATTAAGTGTGACTCTTTTTCTGTCTTTCATTCTCTGTCCGAAACAATAGACTCGATTGTCGGGTAATTATTAGCAACATGTTCTCACTACATAGTCATGTGAAAATCCGTTGTTGTGTTAAAACGAGGCATGTTCTGCACTATTTGAAGTATCGTTTAATATTAATGGCTGAAATTTAAACATAATCAAATTATATCATTAAAATAGTTATGAAAATAAAAGAAAATAATCATAATCTTTTATTATGACAACACGAAGCGTGCTCGTTGCAACTCCAAGTGAGCAAGTTTTGTGCTGTTATAACAAAGGAAGTAAAAAAATATATAATCATACTAAAAATTAAATACATGTAATTATGTTTGGTGTGTGTGTGTGTGTGTGCAGGTAGTGATTAGTAGCTCTGAGTGAATATTCAGCGTAACGAGGTCGAATTTCTTAGTTTCACTTTCGCGGAAATACCCTTGTTAAAAGTATATCTGTTTTCCATATCTATTATTTATGGTTATAATTGTTTTGTTTTTTTTACTATTTAGTAAAGCAGACTTGTGTCTTGGGCTTTGATTGGAAACCAGTCTAGAAGAAGAAAATCTTTGAATTCCACCTACCTAAACCGGGTAAACGCTTTCCAATGACTAAACAATACACTCAAGAAAATTTCGTTAGAAACAAAGAAAAGAGTGTTATATGAAAAGTGTCTCTTATATGGGCACATGAGCAAGTGGTTAGAGCGCTCACTCTTATGAGACCCGGGTTCAAATCTCACTATGGTCGATTTGTCAGGAAGGTAACTTTTTTTAAATTTTATCGCCCTGGGGAGGCTATTCTAGTGTGCGGCACATTTGTAAAGTACCTGAAAACCATACCATGGGTTGACTCAAGCCTTCTTACTGAAATAAGGTAGTCGTGGATGATTGTGATAGCACGAAATTTTCAGGTCATCGTGTCAGAGGGTTTTAAACTTATTGGCTCTGTTCAGACGGTAGACCTCGCCAGATAATGCGCTCCCCCCCCCCAGAAACTGTAACTAAGGTCTGCTCGGCATAGTTGCAGTATAAACCAAAGGTGGGCTCTGTGGATGTTGAACAAACACAAATGTGCCTGATCAAGCGTCTACAAAAGGGATTAGTTAGCATCCTTAGTAGACAAGCGTATACTCGGATACGAGCGGATAGACATTATATGTCAGTGAATACTAGGCAATCACTTCAAAGATGGAGAAGAGACTTTGAGGCAATAGAGATGTGCTTCTACAGAAGGATGTTGAAAATACAATGGAAGGAACATGTAAGGAATGAGGAATATTTAAGGAAAATGAAAACAAAAAATTATTCTTCTAATCATCAAAGGACAGTCGCAATGTCTAAGAGGCAGGATTAAGAAAAAAAAGGCTTAGAGACTTAGAGACTCACATGAAAATATTGAAAGCAAATGGGGTACATGGAAACAGTGAGAAACCAACCACACGAGCTTGTGTAAATGGATGGCTGAACAGGAAGGGGAAAAGGGAAGAAGTAGTCATATATTGCTAAGAGCTACAAAGGATAGGAAATTGTAGAGAGCCATGATCACCAACATCCTGAAGATACATAGAAGAAAATACTACTAACGATTATAATATGATGACCAGTATCAGATTAAGATATTGGCATTCAGGGCTACAATCAAATAAAAGCAGTTGCAATTTCTAGGATATATAATGAGGAAAGAAAGTTTAGAAAAATTAACACTCACATGGCTTATTGAAGGTTACAGTAGCAGGGAGATTAACGGGTTTGTGTGGGTGAATGAAAGATGAAGGACAAAGAGGGATATTGAATAGTCAAAAGTTACTTTGAGACAAAAGTCAAGAAGTTCAACACCTAGGCCAGGGAGGTAAGAAAACTACGACCACTTCGACTTCTTCTTCTATGTGCCGTGTTCCTTCAGGGCGTTGGCAATCATGGCTCTCCACAATAGCAAATAGTGGAAACAGTGTGAGCAATAACTGTGTAATACTATATAAGACGAGGTATCCCTAGACATGGACAGTGTAATGAGAACAACCTACACACTTAGGTTAAAAAACTTGATTCACTTCAAGATTGCCTGAAGGTTTTTCTGGATCAATAAGTACATGATGACGGCCTGAGGACACTACGACCGAAATGTTAGGACCCCCCACCCAAAAAAAAAAAAAAAAATATCAACACAAATGAGGATAGAATTTCCAAATTTAAATCATGTAAATAATGATACAAGAATGATTCCAGAAGTCCACACCGAAAAGACAGGAAGTTTTGGAGAGATATGATCGTTCACGTCCTGAAAGGACATGGCGTATAAAAGAATAGAATGCAAGTGGACAAAAAGATAAAATCTTAAAGAATGGATACAGATCAACAGGGGGGGGGGTATAGACGACGTATTTGGTTTCTTGATAAAAATTTCAAGATTTCCAAATGATGATACAAAGTACATTTTTGAATTTAATTTTGTTTACTTTGTAAAAATAAATTTAATTTTCACTTTACTTTATGAAAAATAGTGCTTTTTGGATCCCTGAAAATACCTGAAAATACCTGAAAATACCTGAAAATACCTGAAAATACCTGAAAATACACAGGACTATAAAATACTGATCTGACATTGATCATAACGTTTAATTTAATTTTGGGTGTATAAATATAGTAAATTTTTTTTACTGCTGAATATTCTTCATTTCTATTCAAAAATGGATTTACCCAATCAATTTAAAAACAAAAAACAAAACAAAAAAAAACAGAGGTGCCATTGGGTACTACGTGCTGTCTAATGCCATTTAGAAATAGATTACTGTTATGGTCCAGGTTAGGACCAAGGAAGAACAACACGAACACAAGAGTAGAAATAAAGAAAGTATATTACACGAAATAATAATACAAGATGTGGAAGGTGTTAGTATGACTGTCAGTCTGGTTAGGAGTGAACTACTATCGGCTCGACTCGATTCGGTATCTAGCCACCTCCCCACGAGGGTTGCATGTGGCACAAGGCCCGTAGAACCCGTATAAACGGGATCGGGATTGTCAACCTCCCCGAACGAGACCCTGACCTTCGGCGGAGCCTCGTCCGGGCCCCTCTCTGCTCAGAGGCAGAGAGTTCGACCGTCAAGTCGAGCTTCTCGGCTTGATTCGGTATCTAGCCACTCCCCCACGAGGGTTGCATGTGGCACAAGGCCGAGTTTAACGTGGGTTTCCCGAGCATAAACGTAGGAAAAACATTTTTGTCTACCTATTAAAAACTGTTTCACAATGAGCGACTTTTCAAAATGGGTGTCTACTTATTTTGAAAGTTACCGCGATGTCTTGTTCGTTTCACGTTTTGTAAAAGAATGCGTAAGAATGTCGACAGTTCGAATGGAATCAATCCTTTTGTTTATTAAATTGTTCATGTACAACGGGATATAATAAAAAAATGTTAAGGAATCCAAACAGGATCTGCAGTCTATGCATTGAAGGAAAACTGAAAATTATAGAATTTAAGAACGTGAACAATTTAATAAACAAAAGGAATGAAATTATTTCAAATCGTCGGCACGTTGTCAGATTACTTTTCAAAAGATCTCGAGAGTATTAAAAATAAATGGTTAGCTATTTTAAAAAATCGCTAAGCGTGAAACACCAGTTAATTTAATAAATAAATAAATAAATAAATAATAATAATAATAATAATGACACGTATTGATATGCGTAAAATTATATAATTCAACGTATGTCTAGGCAAACAGAATTTCTGCTAATAAAGTGTTCAGTCGCTATCTGGAGCAATCATGATTGCATCAAGAATATTGAAACTTTTTGATATTTATAGGAAGTCGAATCTGAGTTACGCGTTTCTTCGCTCTTCAGGATCTAAAAGATTCTTATATGAATTATGAAGAGCGAAGTGTCGCAAAACTCAAAGTCGACCTCCGATAGGTATCATGAAATTTCAGTATTTTTAACAAAATAGTTACTGATATATACACAGATTATAAATTATTTGTAAAGATGTGTGCCAAACTGTTTCATTGTTAAGATAGAGTAATGGTTGTTTTCTTGTCTCAGGCACAGCTTAACATCGTGAATGTTGATCGTAAAGCGACTGTTTCCAAGTCCGTTTGTTGTCTTACGCTTTTAATTTTTTTTCCTACGATTTAAATAAAATTGTTATATCCATTTGCATCCAAACGGGAAGTTGCATCTGCTCCTCACGAAAATAATAGAGAATAAGTTTGTAAAAAAAAAAAAATAGCTGAAGAGAAATTTCACTGACCTTGGAAGCCACCAGTCTCAGGTCCGGCATTGACATGGTGTGTACCAGATTACCGTTAATGATAAGACGGATTTCAATTGAGTCAGGAGTGAAAGCCATTACATATGGGAAGGCACAGACTGAAAGTGAAAGTAAAATTTATCAAAATTAAGGAGTGAAAGCCATTACATATGGGAAGGCACAGACTGAAAGTGAAAGTAAAATTTATCAAAATTAAGGAGTGAAAGCCATTACATATGGGAAGGCACAGACTGAAAGTGAAAGTAAAATTTATCAAAATTAAGGAGTGAAAGCCATTACATATGGGAAGGCACAGACTGAAAGTGAAAGTAAAATTTATCAAAATTAAGGAGTGAAAGCCATGACAAATGTAAGGGAATGAAAGTAAAATAAATTAGTTTATGGCTCAAGAGTGAAAGCAAATAGTTAAGGGGATGCACAGACAGAATGCGAAAGTTAAACTAAATTAAGATTGGTCAATATTTCTGAGATTTTACATTTTTCTGACTGTTGCCCTCATCTTTATTCTCATATCGCGACGGTTCCCAAGAACACATGGCTGAGTTGATAAAAGCGTTGGTTGAAGTAATCCAGTGATTGACCCAAAGAATTGTGTGTTCAATACCTGGCCACAGAAGAGGTAAACAAAAAACTTGGAGAGTTGAGTTACTAAAGGGAAACAACCGAATATAAGCAGTGTAAATAATGATAACTCCAAAAATGAAATGAACTCAGAATTGTTAATCAGAGTGCCGAGTTCCAAATCCCAATGGGTGCCTTAGATTCACTTACACGTAAATACCCTTGAGAAAGTGAATCCATGTAAATTCAGCCTACGAAAATAGCTATCAAGTATATTTTAATTGGTATATTTTATTATAAAAAATGAAATTAAAAATTAAAAAAAATGTAATTAAGTTGATAGTATAAATTTAAGTTAAAAAAAAAATGAGAAAAAATTTCTAACGAATCAACATAAATTCCTTGTGACATTTTTTGACAAATTGAAAGGCGTCGGTTTCTTTTGACGCAAGAAAAACCTATTTTTTTTTTCAATTTATCGTTCAGTTTTTGTCCAGTATATTCTTTTTATGTTTTTAATTATTTCTTTTTACTTTTTAGTTACTTTACTTTTTTTTTAGTTTTTCGTATTTTCTTTTAAATTATTGTTTCATTTGTATTTAATTTTATCCCCCCACTTTCATTCAATTTTTCTATTATTATTTTGTTTATTTTTTTATGACAAAATTATTTTTTTCTTACTTACCTTTTCTGTTTTTTACTTTGATTATTGTTTTACCTTATATTTTAATTTTTCTTATTTTTGTACTTTTGTTTATTTGTTTTATAGCTTGATTTTATTTTTGATTATTTTTCACTTTAGTTTTATTTTTTGATTTTTTTTTAGATTAGTTTTATTTTTATATTATTTTTCTCCTTTTTGTTGTTAGTTTTTGTTTATTTTTATTTATTTCCTCTTTTTAATTTTTCTTTTTATATTTTATTTATTGCCTATTTTCTTTTTCGTTTTAGGATTTCTTTTAGATTTTTGTTCAGTGATCTGGATTTCCTCGTCTAATAGACAATAACATCTTTTGTTTTTTTCGTAGGGATTCCTAATGGTAATAGAGCGCGTAGTCTCCTGCCATAGATTTCTCCGTTAATAGTTTTCGATCCATCTTGAAAGTGCTAACGTACACTTCAAAGTTGGTAAACAATAACTGATCAGTATTAACAATAAGAACGAGACAATATATGCCAAGATATGCATTCTTTTTTATAGATACAAATATTTAAGTAAATGCTCTGTTTATAATAAACAGTATTAAACAACATTTACCGGCCTGAATGTCCGAGAAATTTTCATAGAAAATATTCGTCCACCGACAGGAATCGAACCTGTATCCTATACGGAAACGTCATAAAGCCTGACGTGTCTTTAACCGATTGGGCCACAAAGGAACGTTCGGTTAGCAAGGTCGTTTTTACTGTCTTTAAACTGGCTAACCAAAAGCTCCTCTATAAAAAGAATATATAAACATAAAAATGTCTTAAAATAATTGTCGGACTTTGTCCATTTCATAATGCGTGATGTTATTTGTTTACATTTGGATACGCCATGAGCAGATATGAATGTACGTGAGAGAATCATGGAAGATTGTAGTTGTATTTACTTAAATGTTTGTATTTATAAAAAAGAATGTATAAACCTAAAAATGTCTTAAAAATAATTATCGGACTTTGTCCATTTCATTATATATATATATATATATATATATATATATATATATATATATATATATATATACTAGCAGCGTTGCCCGTGCTTGATTCAAAATCGTACGACTCATACAGTAATCGCTATCACTTGACTTAAAATATTTTTGCCTTTAAAGGAGTGCCCTTTGCCGTACTGATGTTGCTACATGCCTTACTTCTTGCTTATCTCACACTGCGATTTTTTCTAAGCTCTATACTAAACATTAAATCTGTTACGAAAAAAGAACTAAACAAAATGAACACAAAACGATCAGCTTTAAAAAAGGACTCGTAACTGGAAAAACCGAATGAAAAAAGAATGTTATAACAACAAATACTTTTTTCACACCCAACCCAGTTCTGCGGAATCAGAATCAACGTTGAGTTTAAGCAAGCGAATGAGCCAATTGGAGTAAAGTGCCATGCAGATTTAAATTTTTCCCACTTGTGACGAATGCAGCTATCGATTTTTTTGCATGCTAGCATGCTAGTTAACATTCGTGTCAGTCAGCTGTTGGCTCTCACGCTGGCCAATAGAATCTTCCTGCATATCCGTGGCAGCCAGCTATAGGCTCTCACTATGGCCGGTAGAAAATGGCCGCAAACTACATGAAAACTGCTGTAGAAGCATGAAAAAATCTATTATTTCCACTATCAATGGGAGTTGGGAAATGCAAAGCCGGTCTTGGCCTTTCCGCTAATTTGGAGCATGTGCATGTAAATTTTGGTGCAAATCCGTCAAAAATTGCGGCCGTGCATTCATCACACACACACACAGCTTTTATAGATAGAGATATAGGTATTTCCAAATATTCGCTAAAAAAAAAATGGGCATACATGACGAAAAAAAAAATAATGAATCAAACATAATAAAAACAAAACCTTTTATGTTATTAAACGGAAAGTCCAAAAGAGTTTTTGGTTATTAACTTATGTTTTTCTTAACCCTTTTCAGAACCTTCACAAGTTTTTTTAGGCGCATTTTGCGGTAAAAATAACACTGATTTAAAAATTCATGTAAAACTCAAATAATTTTTGAGTTTTAATGGAACCTTTCAGGACATATTTACAAATGAATGAAGTTATTTTAGAAACATTTCACTTTTTTAAAATCTTGTTAAATTATATATAAGTATCTGTTACAACTCACTTATTTAATTTTATGAAATTTCGAGAAATTCATTTTTTGTTTGGTTTAATGTTTATATTAGTTCTGAGTAGAAATTCTTCGAGAATTTAAAATTTTAATTTTTTTTCTAAAACAGGACGCCCAATCAGCGAAAATCTGCACTGAATTGTAAAATAAAAAAAATAAAATAAAACTAAAACATTATTTAATCAGAAAAGTTTTTAATTGCTTTTATGAATAATAAATATTATGGACACACCTGTCTTAAAAACAATTTTTGATGAATAATCATTTACAAAAATTGTTTCCATTTAAAAACAATATGTTAATTGGAATAATTTGTAAAGATTTAAATGTTTTAAAATTCTGTATTAATTTGTACCGGATCGGTAATATTGTTATTAAATAAAAATATATTTACTAATCACAAATAGAAAAGCTTACTATAATTCAACTACTTCCAGTATTTTAAAAATAATTTTAAATCTCTTGTGTTTGTATAAACGTGCTGATTTTTATAAATACGAATATCTATACATAGAACTACGAGAAAATAAGAGCCATAACTAGAGTAAATTTCAAGGCAAAGTTCCTAAAATTTAATATGAATTACTTGGAAGATTTTCCTAATTTTTTAAAGATTACTGGGCAATTAAAAAAATTATTTAAGAAAGCCGCTCATGTCATATTCGTCAAGTAATTTTTACGGATATGTCTACCGTAGAAAAAATAGGTAAATTTCCTAAACATCAGAGTGTCAATAGAGCTGTTAAAACTTCATAAAACACTTATTTGCGTATTAAAAATGGTTTTATGCGATATTTTGAACTAAAAGTAAGCAGTATTTGTTTCATATCAGAATCCGCATTATATACTAACGGATTGATTACCTGTACTATATATATATATATATATATATATATATATATATATATATATATATGATAAATAAGTTTATTTACATCGCAATAAGGTAATACTCTTAGTAAATTCAAACGCAAATAAAATTACGTAAAATTATAAACTTAAAAATATTTAATATTTGAGATATTTATTTAATGAGATATATATATATATATATATATATATATATATATATATATATATATATATACACTGTTACTTGGCGCTAAATTAAAAATTGTAGCAGGTTCAAATTCTGATACAAACAATATCGCCTGAAAATATTTAAAATTTGTATTTATTTATTTTTATTTTTTAGTATTTCACGCCAAGCAAGGCGGGAGCGTCGCTAGAACGCAAGGGATTACAGAGAGTGAAAGTAAGTCTAAAGAGGGGTGCTTGAGGAAAGGATAAAAATAAGGACGGGGAGGAAGATCAAGGTATCAGAAGATATCGATTGACATTACATTTAAATTTTTGAAGATTATAGTTACCAGGGAAGCAAGGGAGTTTCACTATCGGGAAGTGCGAGAGAAGAAGCTGTTGGAGTAGAAGATTCGACAGTAAAAGGGTGGGACCGAAATGCCAACCCAGTAGCAAGCTTAAATTCATTCAGTTGGGGCATCAGTGAAAATAGCTCGTCAGAGCAGTTGCCATGGAAATATTTGTAGGGAAGCCACATCACGTCTGTGAGAAAGTGACTAGAGTCAAGATGCCAGGTCAGAACTTATCACATTGCATATCCGTCTTTGGATTTTGTCGAGAACCTCGAGATGAACAGTGGGGGCACCAGACCATATATGGCAACAGTATTCAATGCAAGGACAAATAGTAAATTTTTGGAATTGTGGATAGAATTGACAGGGACTCGGAATCGGAGAGCCGGGTTCGAATTCCAGTTAAGTTCCCCTCCTGTCAATTCCTTCTCCACCCAGCTATGTGTAAATAGTAGGAAAGACTGAGCAACCAGTCTAGGAGAAAGAAAACTGAATTCAAATCAGCCTGGACAGTGTTGGTTTCCATTAGGCTATCTTGGGAGAACTCTAACAAAGATATTCACACCCTTTGCAAACAGATACGTGCCTGTAGTCATGTACGTACGCATATTTTTAGATACGAATTCTTAAAACAAAATGGTTATTCCTGACAGAATTCGACACTTACCAACTGATTGGGGTTCTGAGTTCCACTGAAAATAGATATCCTGAGAGATTTCTTCTCGTAATTTCTGGAAATGGCTGATATCTGAAAAGAAAAAAGAAAAATAGTTGATTTTTTAAATATTTTCATGGTTAGCTGTCAGAGGTATCGAAACGGAAAAATGGAACCAACAAACCGAGTTCAAATACCGACAGGGGTTTTACAAAACTTTGGTGCTGTGGTCCCATAATCCAAGCGATTTGAAGCTGTGGTTCCATACTCCTCGGGGAGTCTACGGGACTTTGGAGCTGTGGTCCCACACTCCTCGGGAGTCTACGGGACTTGAGCTGTGGTCCCACACTCCCCCAGGGAGTCTACGGGACTTTGGAGCCCACACTCCTCGGGAGTCTACATGGACTTTGGAGCTGTGGTCCCACACTCCTCGGGGAGTCTACGGGACTTTGGAGCTGTGGTCCCACACTCGGGGAGTCTACATGGACTTTGAGCTGTGGTCCCACACCCCTCCATGGACTCTGGAGCATGGGGGTCCCACTTTGGGCTGTGGTCCCACACTCCCCCAGGGAGTCTACGGGACTTTGGAGCTGTGGTCCCACACCCTCGGGAGTCTACATGGACTTTTGAGTTGTGGTCCCACACCCTCGGGGAGTCTACGGGACTTTGGAGCTGTGGTCCCACACCCTCGGGGAGCTCCATGGAGAGCTGTCCCACACTCCTGGGAGTCTACGGACTTTGGAGCTGTGGTCCCACACTCCTCTCCATGGGAGTCCCACACGGACTTTGGGAGCTGTGGTCCCACACCCTCTACGGGAGTCTACGGGTCCCACTTTGGGGAGTCTACGGGACTTTGAGCTGGGTCCCACACTCCCTCGGGAGTCTACGGGACTTTGAGCTGTGGTCCCACACCCCCGGGGAGTCTACGGGACTTTGGAGCTGTGGTCCACACTCCTCGGGAGTCTTTGGGCTGTGGTCCCACACTCCCACACTGGGAGTCTACGGGACTTTGGAGCTGTGGTCCCACACACTCCTCGGGACTTTGGAGCTGTGGTCCCACACTCCTCGGGGAGTCTACGGGACTTTGGAGCTGTGGTCCCACACTCCTCGGGGAGTCTACGGGACTTTGGAGCTGTGGTCCCACACTCCTCGGGGAGTCTACTTTGGAGCTGGGTCCCACTTTGGGGAGTCTGGGACTTTGGGCAGCTGGTCCCACACCTCCTCCAGGAGTCTACAGGACTTTGGGTCTGTGGTCCCACACTCCTCGGGGAGTCTACGGGACTTTGGAGCTGTGGTCCCACACTCCTCGGGGAGTCTACGGGACTTTGGAGCTGTGGTCCCACACTCCTCGGGGAGTCTACGGGACTTTGGAGCTGTGGTCCCACACTCGGGGAGTCTCGGGACTTTGAAGCCAGGGGAGTCTACGGGACTTTGGAGCTGTGGTTCTATACTCCTCGAGGACACAAGTCTAAGTAATTAACACGTATCTTGGTCTGCAATAGGTGGATTCATACCTTTCCAATGGTATTTACGCTTAAAGGTATATAACGATCCCAACAGAAATTGAAACTCGGTTCCTCAATTAACAATTCCGAGACATTATCCATTACACCACTCTCACATCTGAGCTTAAAGCACCCGGTATTCCTAACCAAGCAGGCTCGAATTTGCTTTACTTCTGTGATCGTACGGGAACCGGTCTTGTGAACAGTGGTCGTAAACTCTGGTTTTAGTCATAATATTTATAGGAATTACAAGCAGTTTTATTTGTTTACTGAAAGTAAAATTAAACCCATTTTTGAATATATGTATTTTTGTAATATACACATTCATTTTTTAATATTGGTCTTATAATTCGATTATTTTTAAAAAGAAAACCTAATGTTTATTCGTCATATAAAAACCGGTAAGAACAAGGAAAACTACATATAATGATAAAAGTCAGAACCAAATGATATATCTTTAATATTTTAAATGTAATGTTTCAAAATCCCCATGATACCGAAGAGTTAACGAAATTGTCATTTGCGTTCAATGGTGGATTAATGGATAGCGACTCTGATTGAAGAATTGGAGAGCCGAGTTCGAACTCCAGTCGAATCCATTACATTCACTTACGTGCTAATACCCTTGGGAAAGGTATGAATCCTCCTCTTCTTCTCCCAGCTATGGGTAAATAGCAGGACAGACTGGGTTCTATAGCCTTGGATGGCAACTGGTCAGAAAGAAATGGCAACCTACTGCGGGAAAAAATCTGCCTTATCAGTCATGTACGCATGGCACATAATTGACTGATCTCATGAATACTGCATTTTTATGAATAATAAAAGCTAACCTTGTAAATACAGTATTAATTTACTGTTGAATTAGGATTGCTTAGATATGTTATATTTTAATTAGGATTCATTAAACAAACATTTTGGACTTGTAAATATGAAAAATAATACAATAAAACTGATATTTTTTTTATTACAATCAATATATAAAATAAATATTCATTTAAAAAAAAAACATGAAAATTTTTTACTGAAGCATTTATTTTAGTTTTACTTTCAAGCTATGCGTAAATAGCAGGGCAGACCAAGTTCTATAGCCTTGGGTGGCAACTGGCCTACTGCATAAAGAAACTACTGAGAGAAAAATTTGCCTCGTCAGTCATGTATCGAAAGATACATGATCGCCCAAGTGTGTATGGCACATAACTGTCTGACTGATTTTATTTATTTATTTTTAAATAGCGAAATCTGCATGTTTCAGTATGAAGGACATTCTAATTGACCAGTCAATTTGGACATTGTAGTACCGTATGCAAACTGGATAGACCAGTATAAATAGAGAGCAACTGGCAAATAAGGGGGGGGGGTTATGCCTAGCAAACCCGTTTGCTATTCAGGACACGGAGAACAGTACTACGACTACTACTACGCAGAGATATATGCAAAACATAACAGACATGATACTTACGGTTATAGCAGAGTAAAAGTTCTGGTTCATCATCTTCATAAATATCCAATGCTGCGACTAATGTAACCTGAAAGTCAAGATAAAAACTATAATTAAATAGCAACAAATATTCAGTTTCACTAAACACACATTTATGGCGACTACTCGTTAGTCAATTGCATATAAATTTCAACTGGAATTGGAATGAAAGCGGTGATGGAACCTACCCTGAATCCATCAAAGAATTCTGGATATAGAAAATCCCAACACTTCAAATACCTTTGTGTACAGTGATTTTATAAGCGTAGCTTAGATGTGAAACAAGGCCGGAAATAGTGATCTTCCAAGCGTAGTTTAGATGTGGCACAAGGCTGAAAGTATGGAGCACCCAGTGAGGATCGAACTCACTATGTTGTCGTAATTGTTCTAGCGAGGCAAGCTTGCTAACCATTACACCGCCTCGAGGTGGCCATGATGATTTTCTAAGCGTAGCTTAGATATGTTTTAAGGCCGAAAGTATGGGGCACCTAAAAAGTGTTACCAACCAGGGTCAGGGTGGAGCCAGGAACAATAGAAATTAAGAGGTGATTCCACACCCCTCACCCACACGATCAAAAGCCTTGTGCCGGATGTAGTTTATCGTCATACCAAGGACGATAAATTAATAAGACAGACGAAAAATTGTTGAAAATAAATATTTTTTGAGTAAAGTAAATAATTAGGAAAGTTGTACATAGTAAACTTTAAATTTTTTTGACGCAAAACTTATTTTGTTATGCATCAGTTTTTTTTCGGACGTAGCAATAAATATTTTAGCAGAGTACTAGTATTTCGACTATAATTTGTCAATTCTGAGTTTAACACGTTTCCTCACGTTGTTGATATATTTTTTTTTTAATTCGCGTAAGGCTAAAATTTGTGTAGGACAAAACATTACGCATTATTAATAGCGATTTATTAATCGTAGCTTAAACGTGGCACAAGGCCGCAATTATGGTATTCACTACTTAGTCGTAACGAAGACTGGCGTGCTAAGTACATTTACCGGCCTCTCCACTAAGATAGTATGTGACACAAGGTCGTTGGAGCGCCATACAAATATTTATGCATATGTGCCAAGAAGAATTTTTTCTTCTCAGTCCCATTATCATTTTGGTATCGACATAACACCAACCTACCTCTCTTACTGCAACGAGGAAGGTGCTGCTGCAGAGTTGAAATCCTCAGGGCTGGGGAAGTTCTTCTATCTAAAATGAAGTTTACCCCACTTCCGGTAAAAAGTTAACTCCTGTGAGCTAGTTAAATATTACTCCACGTCGAAGGTGATTTACTTTACTCCCACTACCTTCAACTGAGTCAGTTTGTGACACACGGTCAGTTTTTAATGCGGGGACCCGAGTTTTTTATTTTTTTTTAATTTTTTTTTTAACTCGGGCCGCTAGTCTAAGCTGGTCCTAGCTTTTCAGGGCTGGTCTAAGCTAATCTTAGATTGTCCCAGCTGGTCAGAGTTCGTGTAAGCTAATCATAGTCGTGTTACACCCCACCTCCACCTTGTTAAACATTACACCACGTCGAAGGTGATTTACTGACCCCACCCCCATCACTGAGTCAGGTTGTAACACACGGTCGGTTTTTAACGTGGGGGGGGGGCGAGTGTTTTCACCCGGGCCGCTGGTCTAAGCTAGTCATAGCTGTGATACCACCAGCGTCGGTCGCTCAAGTCTTGAACGACAGATCGATTAAACTCTCTGCCTTCGGGCAGGGAGGAACCCGAAAGAGGCTATTTCGGGGAGGTAAACCGACCCTGAACCCGATTATACGGGTTCAATGGGCATATTTTTGGCCGAGCCCACGTTAAAAAGGCCTTGTGCCACATGACGCCTTCGTGTGTGTGTGTGTGTGGGGGGGATCCCTGTGCCAGGGAAGTATGAATTACCCCACATGGCATAATGCATGTTTGACAGCAACAAATGGCGTTTACAACAGTGGCGCTAATATTTCATTTGCATAACAATTTCATATCGTAATTTGATAAATGTTTCTTCTGTGCTACTTCTTAATTCAAGTTGTTAAAATTGCCATATATAAGAAATGCTTATGGAGATAATTTGATTTTAATTCATTGTGTTTATATAGAAAAAAAATAATATCTGAATATATATTCTGTCGTAAGTTAGAAAACTTACAGCGTTCATAAAAAAATTGTAGTCCGCTATTTTACAGGACTACAAATTAGATGAATGGAGCTGTAAAAATTGATGCAATTATCTGTTTAATTGGATTTTCTTCAAACTTTACTGAATTATTTAAACAAGTGAAAAATACTAAGTTTGTTGAATGAATTATTATAAAGTTTAGAAATTATTCCAGTGTTTCTGTCAAGGTCATCTCTATGTCGCAATGTTCAGCGTAGGAAAGTCAAGTAAACTTACTATAAATAGTGATTTTCTAAGCATAGCTTAGATGTGGCACAAGGCCAAAAACATGGGGAACTAAGTAAGGATTGAACTCAATACACAGTAGTAATTTTTCTTGCGATAAGCTTGCTAAACATTACACGATGTCGAGCTACCTAATATAGTGTTTTCTAAGTATAACTTAGATGTGGCACAAGGTCAAAAGTATGGGGCATCCAGTGAGAATCGAACAATACTTAATCAATATTGTTTTTGCGAGACAAGCTTGCTAACCATTACCCTACATCGAACTGCCCAATGCACATTGTATAATAATAAAAAAATAAAAAATAAAAATAACTTTCTAATGTAGATGTCATGCTAAAAATGTTAAAACAGAACTTTCAGAGGTAAGAGACCTTTGATGAAAACATTTCTCTTTTTGTAGGATCGGTCTTCGTCGGCGACTTCTTTAGGTCCCGTGTCCAAACAGGACGTAGGCGATCATGATTCTCCATAGCTTCCCGTCCCTTGTAGCTTTTAATAAATTGTCTTTCTCTTATTTCTCCTAAACCTTGTTCTGCCATCCATTTACTAAAGTACGCTAAGTATATTATGCGTTGATTTCCTCTAGCCGACTATCTGTCCCGTGAGTATCAGTTTTTCCACGCCCTCCTTCCTCATTATGTACCACAGAAAAGTCAACTGTCACTTCCTGATGTCAAGTTTCCTTTTTGTTACCATTTTCTCTAAAACTTCGTCGTCGCGCATCTATTCGGTCTATGGTATTCTCAGCATCCTTCTGTAGAACCACATTGCTGTTGCTTCAAGTCTTCTTTCAGAAGATTGTTCATCACTCATACAGGAGGACAGATATCATGTATCAGTCTAGTACTGTTTTCCTTGTTTCTAGCGAAGTTTTTTTTTCCTATTTCTTGGTTCTTTGTTTAGCTTTTGGAATACTTCCATAGCCATCCCAATGCGACTTCGGATTTCAATGTCACACTTTCCATTCTCTGTGCACTAAAACATAAAAAACACAGCAGGTTTTCTTTTATGCGCCATATCTTTACTGGAGGTGGGCGATCAAGGATCTTTGAGGCTTCATCTCCTTTGAAACACTACTTGTTTTCCTAAACATTCCTTCCACTTGTTATCACTCTGTCGTCCATTTACTCAAACTTCTTTAGGTAGATAACTCATTATTTCCCTTTACTCTTCTCGCCTTCAATGTCATGTGAGTGTCAAATTCTCCAATCCTTCTGTATTCATTATTCGTGTCAAAAATTTCTACTGTCTCTTTCTGATGCTAAGCTCTGTCATCAGTTTACTTAAACTTATTAGATCGATTCTGAGATGTTTCCATTTGTTTCTCTCGCATTCAGTATTTCCTGTGAGTGTTCAATTTTCCAAACCCTCCATCCTCATAATGTATTGCATAAATTTCAACTATCTTTCTGATTGTATGTATTTGTGTACTTTTCATTCCCATTCAAACTTCCTCGCTGCTCACATATTATGTCTATGGCATTCACAGCTCCCTTCTGTAAAACACATATCTGTCGCTATCAAGCACGAATGGCAATTCTCTGAACCGAAGTAAAGCACGAACAAACTTCAATACAGCATATTCAGAAAACATAATTGGTTACAATGAACTAACTTAAAGTGAGAACAACTCTTGAAATATAGTCGCCGTGAATGAGGCTATAACGCGTGCTCCAGTTAATATTAAGACCGTGGCTGTGTGTTTTATCCTGTGGCTTGATAGCGTTAGCTCCGGACAAGAGGCATTGATTCAATCAGAGGTAATGAGGTTGATTAAAAAAAAAACATTTATTATTAACTAGCAGCATGGTCCGGCGTTGCCCGTGCTTGATTCAAAAATCGTACGACTCATACAGCAATCGCTATCACTTGACTTGAAATGAGTGCCCTTTGCCGTGCTGATGTTGCTACATGCCTTACTTTTTGCTTATTTCATACTGCGAATTTTTCTAAGCTCTGTACTAAACATTAAATCTGTTACGAAAAAAGAACTAAACAAAATGAACACAAAACGATCAGCTTTAAAAAAGAACTCGTAACTGGAAAAACCGAATGAAAAAAGAATGTTAACAACAGATACTTTTTTCACACCCAACCCAGTTCTGCGAAATCAGAATCAACGTTGAGTTTAAGCAAGTGAATGAGCCAATCGGAGTAAAGTGCCATGCAGATTTAAATTTTTCCCACTTGTGACGAATGCAGCTATCGATTTTTTTGCATGCTAGCATGCTAGTTAACATTCGTGTCAGTCAGCTGTTGGCTCTCACGCTGGCCAATAGAATCTTCTTGCCTATTCGTGGCAGCCAGCTATAGGCTCTCACTATGGCCAGTAGAAAATGGCCGCAAACTACATGAAAACTGCCGTAGAAGCATGAAAATATATATTATTTCCACTATCGATGGGAGTTGGGAAATGCAAAGTCGGTCTTGGCCTTCCCGCTAACTTGGAGCACGTGCATGTAAATTTTGGTGCAAATCCGTCGAAAATTGCGGCCGTGCATTCGTTACACACGCACACATCCTGCCTTTTATAGATAGAGATTCTTGGCTAGTATATATTTCACTTTATTGCCATTAAGATGGCAGGGCTGAGGATAGGCTGGCTACAACTTATGTAAATACCCCACCCAACAAATGACTCATAATCCGGGTTGTTACTTATAGAAACGGGCTAAATCCGACCTATATCAATCATTTTGAATCTCATATAAACCGGATATATATCTACCTTTGCGAGTCTTATATAAACCAGATATATATCTACCTTTTCAAGTCGACGATAAAACCGAATATCGATCTAACTTATTGAATCTCATATAAACCGGATATATGTCTACCTTCCTGAAACCGAAAGCCGGATATACATGGACATTTTGAGTGAACTATGAAACCGGATCTAAGTCTACGGCGATTCTTTGCGACTGGAGTGTAAAACCTGAGCCATGTCTATCTTTTTGACAGCCTCTGTTTAACTTGTTGTCTTTAGTACAAGCCCGAATTATATCTCCCTATCTGTTATTTCATTGTAATTTTGTCCAATAAGACTTCTGTTCAACATTAAATAACCTAAGCACGGTTGGTATGTTAAATTAACCTACTCATTCCAAACAATCGTCTCGGTTCTAATTGCTTTTAAATCTTTTTTTATATTTTAAAATCATTTTATGGCAATTCAGAAAAAGTAATTACAGAAAAAAAATTATTTCAATTATTCAAGTCAAAAAAATTTTTTATTTCAATTATTCAGGTAAAAAAAAAAAAATTATTTCAATTATTCAGGTCGTCATTTTACGGCTTATATAAAATTCTCATCACTTAATAAAATAAAGGATGATCTACAGTTTGAACTACTGAGCAACTGAGAGATGATTAAGCTTTTTTGAGTCGAAGTTTAAAAAGCCCAGAGTTATTATATATATATATATATATATATATATATATATATATATATATATATATCAAATATGGATCGGAATCCGAGAGGATGGTAAGATAAAGAAAAAATAAAAAAACGTATATCAATCTAACATGTTTCACTTTTATTAAAGCTTCATCAGAAATTGAAAGAAAACAGACCAAAATACAAAACTTTGGAATTCTCAATTTAAAAAAAAACTGAAGGTAGCGTAAAAATACCCTACCTTCAATTAAAAAAAAAATGAAAATACCGAAGTTTTGTATTTTTGTCTGTTTTCTTTCAAACTCTGAGTAAGTTTTAGTTAGATTGGATTACATTTCCTAATTGTTTTTTTTAATCTCTCTCTCTCTCTCTCTATATATATATATAGACGAATTATATTTAAATGGCAAATGTTCTAACGAGCGCCATTGTTTAGTTTCACCAGTTCAGATGGTACGTCCAGAGGTTCGAATCACACTCTTTTTCTTCGTATTCCATTTGTAAGAAGGAAGTTCCACTGAGAAATCTTCTTCAAAGAACTATTTCTTTATGGACGAGACTCCACGCGGTTGCTTCCAAGAGCATTACAATCTTGACCTCTTCAAGGGTCAATCGTCATCTTTGCTCCCTCTGCTAATCATCTTCATCACAACCTATTATACTTGACTGGGTGAACATTAGTAACCAAAAAAAAAAAAAATAAAAAAAAAAAAAAAAAAAAAAAAAAAAAAAAAATGTTATTAATCTGATTCGTTATTCTTCATGCAATTTAAGACGAACTAAAGCCATTGTTTTAAACGATTGATTCAGAGACAACTTACCCGGTTACCATCAACGTGAAAAAGCGGATGGCTCTCACCCGATTTTTCGTGGACCACATTGAATTGGTTTTTGTAACCATAACTAACAAAGTTATCGTCTTTTCCATCAACTAATGTCAGGATGGTTGGTACTTCAGCCGTTTGGATTTCCTGCAAGAGAACAACAAGGAATTGGTTTATCTTTTATCATGTAAGGATCCCCAAAGGAACAAGAACAAACAAACAAACAAAGGCAACAAAAATCACTTCATATTCCAAAAGAAACCAGTTGGATTATTGAATTCAGAAAGATATAAACACGAATGTCGGGTGGTAAGATAGTTTTCAAAGTTTCGATCACCTACCTTTGTATACAATTATAATGATTTTGTAAATCTAATTTATAAAGTTGAATATGTCTGCGTATCCATTTAAAAGCCTGGGAATTAATATAGAAAACTAGTTATTTACACGATTTATATTCTATTATCCTCATCTTTGTTGTTATCAAAAAGATTTTGGCCGAAACGTTGAGATATCAGTAAAGATGAGAAATTCAGACAGAAAAATTAGTTGTCTGTTCATGTACGTGTTGTTCTTCTATGTGTCATGTCCTTTCATGACGTAAACGACCATAATGCTCCAGAACTTCCTGTCCATTGTAGCCATTAGTAAAGTTTTTTCTTTAATATTCTAATCCCTATTCTGCCAACCTTTTACATAAGCTCGTTGGGTTGGTTATGTGCTCCTTTCCTTTCTATATGACCGGTGAGTGTCATATTTTCCAAGCCTTCTTTCCTCATTATATGCCATAGAGGTTTCAACTGCCTCTTTCTGGTGTTATGTGTAAGAGTCCTTTGTGTTTCCATTTTCTCTAGAACTTCGTCGTTGCTCACGTGTTCACGCTATGTAACCTCCCAACAGAGCCATATTTCTATTGCCTCTTCTCCACCTGTGATGAGGTCGTCTAGACTGCATAAAATGAGACATCAAATAAATCGTTGTTATCATTTACATATACCAGAAAAATGTTTTATATACCTCTCAACTCACCCGTTCTTCCTTAATTAAGATAGGTCATCTGCATAGTAAACTTTAAAAATCGTGTTTTTAAGAAGAATTGTTAATTTCTAGTTTTGTTTGAAGATCTTTATAAATAGACATTTGTTTTGGTTTGACGTCTTTTATAACTGCTTAGTTATTTATATGAAGGCACCTCAGTATAGTGTAGTGTACTAATTAATCTGATTGACCATTACTACGATGTAGCGAGTTTCATGCTCACTGGTTGCACCCCCACACAAATTCAACATTAAATAACGTTGAAAAGTTGAAATGTCATAAAATCAGCGAGTTAAACAAATTATTCAAATAATGCATTTTTCTGCGCTGAAATTCGTAACCCTCTTAGCATTTAGATCACGGATTGGGAGAAAAGAGTTGTAAGCACTGTTTAAATGGAAGCAAGCCACGTCGGCAGTGCTTAATGGCATATATTGAAAACCTAACAATTAGAATCATTTATAATATTTTAACATACCATATGAGAAATAAACGATTATAAACGATTCTGATAATATCATCTTCGGGCATCAGCAAATCTCTATAAAAGACTGTAACGAAACAAAGGAAAGTGACTTGGTTTGTACAATACTGGGGTTCTTTTTTCATATCTTTTTACAAGTGCGGAAATATGGCTACAATCTTAGAGTCAGATATGAACAAGATGGGCATATCTCTTTTTTACGGCTATCGACCCTTTTTGAGATAATAATGGATTAGGGATACAAGTCTTACTAATTAACCATTGGTACAGGGAGTAGAGGTGAATCCATCCCTTTCCCAGGGATATTTGTGCGTAAGTGAATATAACGAACACAACGGGAATTTGAACTCGGCTCTCCGATTAACAATTCCGAACCATTATCCATTACAGCACCTGGTATTCTTAAGCAGTCACCCATCTAGGTATTGACCAGATATTACTTAACTTCGGTGATTGCACTGAAACCGGTTTTTCAACGTGATGAGGCCGTCAGCCGACATATTTTGATGATGATGTTTTGATAAATAGGGAAAACAGCTACCCGGTAATAAAGAAAGGAGAAACCATCGTTGGATCCGACATGCTTGAGTTGCTTAAAAGTTTCTTGGATCGAACGACGGTTTCTCCTGCAAAGGGGGATGCTCGTTAGAATTTTGCCGGATAGCGCATTTTTGTTTATTTCTCGAATATTCAGGCCTGTAGTCGAAAATAAAATACTGTTTAAAAAATAAACGAGGTGTCTATTCAAATATGGGTATCCATTAAGAATAACGTTTATATATATATATATATATATATATGTGTATATATATATATATGAGGTTCTACAATTTGACTTATTTGCTGCTGAAAGAACATTAAATATATAAATATGAAACTTATGTTGCAGATCTTACAAGATATTTCTATAGATTTTCTGAACTGCATTCAAAATGCAATAGATCTGTTCAAACAGATATTTTCCTATTTTTATATTTATTGATCACTTTGCTTCAGTTCCTTCAACAGGCATGTCTCGTTCTTGGATGGTATTCATGTTTGTTCAAAATGATTTATCAAAGCTGGATTGTTAATTTCCTGCTATAATTGAATAATATTTCCAAGATTTGGCCGCCATCTTGAAATGTGTTCCTTCGATTTTTTTTATTCTCAATGACAGCATCAAATGAAAGCGTATCTGAACACGTGTTATTTGAAGACGTCCCTCACATTATATCTCTTTTGCTGCCTTGATTCTCTTTATCGGCTGAGAAATACAAAGAAAAGGAAAAGGAAAAAAAATGCAGTAAAAATAGTCGGATTGCTCGTGCCGAGAAAAAAAAATCTGTGGAATCTGGAAATTCTAATGAATCATCCAATACATAAGAATTTAAAAGCGACAACAAAGACATTTATCAGCGAATAACTATCTTCTAACAGACTACATACTAAATCCAAAGACTGCTATGTCTGTGGGATTATAATTAGCTGACCCCAGAAAGGTAATTTTCTGAATGGATACTTGCACAATCGATTATAACCGGACATATAGCTATCGTTTTCACTCTAGTGTCAAGCAAAATTGTGTATACCGATTTGGCTCGAGTGGAAATCGAACATATGTCTAACGTTTTTATTCGAGTTAAATCGGAAATGTGTCTACAGTTTCGACTCGAGTTTAAACCGGAAATGTGTCTACAGTTTCGACTCGAGTTTAAACCGGAAATGTGTCTACAGTTTCGACTCAGTTTTAAACCGGAAATGTGTCTACACTCGAGTTTAAACCGGAAATGTGTCTACAGTTTCGACTCGAGTTTAAACCGGAAATGTGTCTACAGACTCGAGTTTAAACCGGAAATGTGTCTACAGTTTCACTCGTTTAAACCGAAAACCGGAAATGTGTCTACAGACTCGAGTTTAAACCGACTCGAGTTTAAACCGGAAATGTGTCTACAGTTTCGACTCGAGTTTAAACCGGAAATGTGTCTACAGTTTCGACTCGAGTTTAAACCGGAAATGTGTCTACAGTTTCGACTCGAGCTTAAACCGGAAATGTGTCTACAGTTTCGACTCGAGCTTAAACCGGAAATGTGTCTACAGTTTCGACTCGAGTTTAAACCGGAAATGTGTCTACAGTTTCGACTCGAGTTTAAACCGGAAATGTGTCTACAGTTTTGACTAGATTTCAAGCCAGAAATATGTATACCGTTTTCATCTAGTGAAAAAAAAGGATCTATGAGCTTTTTGACTCTAATGTAAACTTGACCTATGCCTACCTGTTTATTAATTTATATTAATTTTCGTAATATAACACTTATATTAGAAACTAAATAGTCCGTGAAGTTTAGATATATCGTTAAAATTACAAACTTAAGGAATCCGAGTAAGCATCGGAACAACAGTATTACTAAAATCAGCTACAATACCTAGAAGAGTTTTAGACTATTCAAGAGACTTGAGCTCCGGAGAAAGCCACCAGTTAACAGTGTTTTCAACATGCAATGTTTATATAACAAAGGTATTAAATAATAACATCAAAAACAATCTAGATATCTTTAATATATCGATTTTTATATTCCTTCTATGATGACAAACTGTATTTTTATTGACTGCAGCAATGGTAAATATACCTTCTGAACTTAACTAAAAAAACATCGATTTAAGAACGTTGAATTTAATTTATAATATTATATATATATATATATATATATTAAAAAGTTCTTTTATTTAACAATGAACACTGTTTTTTCTTACACTATAGAGAATATATATATTAAAAAGTTCTGTTATTTAACAATGTGCACTGTTTTTTCTTACACTATAGAGAAGATATATATATATATATATATATATATATATATATATATTTCTTGAACTTTAATAATTTATCGACCAATGCGGTATTTTATTAATTTTTATCTTAAATGTAAATTGATGTTTTGCTTCTCACTATATAAAATTTTAAATTTATCATTTATTTTCATCGTTTCCCATATTTTTTATTTATTTCAGTTTTGCATTTCTTTCTGACAGCTTCTTTACTTATTCATGGAGATAAAAATTACACCGAATAAAATTGTCAGGAAAGATGCTCGCCTTTGCAAAGAGAAATTTTTTTTTATCCGTAAATGTCAGTCTTTTTTATAATTCATTTGGTGCAATCAAAATTAACAACTGATTTCAAAGTTGCACTGCGGTTTGTCCGCTTAAAAAACAACAACAACTAAAAACAAAACAAAAGAAACACATAACATGAGCGAAAACAAATAATGGAATCTCAGAAAGAACTTTGAAGGATGTGGAATGGATGGCTTTCGAATAATTTGCTTATCGACATCGTCGTGGGAAACTGAAGAAAAGATAAAGAAACTAAAAACAAATCATTCAACACACAGAATCAAGCGTACATAGGAATGCCACTTCATATTTGCGTATATGTGGGTGCGTGTGTGTGTGTGTATGTATGAGGAGAAAGAGAGTTTATGAAAGAAGTAAAGGGAGATAGGTGGAAAGAAATGAGAGAGGTAAACAGATTTAAAAGCAGAGTAAATCGGAGAGAGAGATGGAAAAACAGAGTAAATCAGAAAGAGAGAGATGGAAAAACAGTGTAAATCGGAAAGAGAGAGATGGAAAAACAGTGTAAATCGGAAAGAGAGAGATGGAAAAACAGAGTAAATCGGAAAGAGAGAGATGGAAAAACAGAGTAAATCGGAAAGAGAGAAAAAAAACAATGTAAATCGGAAAAAAACAGAAATCAGAGAGAGAGATGGAAAAACAGAGTAAATCGGAAAGAGAGAGATGGAAAAACAGAGTAAATCGGAAAGAGATGGAAAAACAGAGTAAATCAGAGAGAGAGATGGAAAAACAGTAAATCGGAGAGAGAGATGGAAAAACAGAGTAAATCGGAAAGAGAGAGATGGAAAAACAGAGTAAATCGGAAAGAGAGAGATGGAAAAACAGCGTAAATCGGAAAGAGAGAGATGGAAAAACAGAGTAAATCGGAAAGAGAGAGATGGAAAAACAGTGTAAATCGGAAAGAGAGTGATGGAAAAACAAAAACAGTAAATCGGAAAGAGAGAGAGATGGAAATCGGAAAGAGAGAGATGGAAAAAAAGTGTAAATCGAGAAGATGGAAAACAGTAAATGGCGAGAGAAAAACAGAGTAAATCGAGAGAGATGGAAAACGAGGAAAGAGAGAGATAGTGGGAGAAAAGAAAAGATATTCGAACACGAAATCAGAGGGGGTGAGAAAAGGAGATGAAATGGCGGGAGAGAGATGGAAAAACAATTTAGAAGATATCGAAAAAACAGAGGGTGAGAGAGATGGAAACAGGTAATTAAAGAAGAAATGAAAACAGTGTAAATCGGAAAGAGAGTGATGGCGAGAAAAGGAGAGGAAATCGAGGAAAGAGATAGTGGGAGAAAAGAAAGGGAATCAGAGGGGTGAGAAAAGAATAAATGGAAGAATTTAGAAGAATCGAAGAGGGTGAGAAAAGGACAGGTAATTAGAAAAATGAGAAATTAGAATCAGTGAAAGGAAAGAAAAGAAAGAAATCAGTGAGAGAATAAAGAGAAAAGGAGAGAAAAGAATCAGTCAGTGAGAGAAAAAAAGAGAAAGAATCAGTGTGTGAGAGAAAAAGAGAAAGAATCAGTGAGTGAGAGAAAAGGAGAGAAAGAATCAGTGAGTGAGAGAAAAGGAGAGAAAGAATCAGTGAGTGAGAGAAAAGGAGAGAAAGAATCAGTGAGTGAGAGAAAAGGAGAGAAAGAATCAGTGAGTGAGAGAAAAGGAGAGAAAGAATCAGTGAGCGAGAGAAAAGGAGAGAAAGAATCAGTGAGCGAGAGAAAAGGAGAAAGAATCAGTGAGCGAGAAAAAGAGAAAGAATCAGTGAGCGAAAGAAAGGAGAAAGAATCAGTGAGCGAGAGAAAAGGAGAGAAAGAATCAGTGAGCGAGAGAAAAGGAGAGGAAATCAGTGAGCGAGAGAAAAGGAGAGGAAATCAGTGAGCGGGAGAAAAAGAGAGGAAATTAGGGTGAGAAAAAGAGAGGATCTTAAAACTCTGAAACTTAATTAACCGTTAAAAGATATGTGTATGTGTGTGTGTACACACGCTTGCAAATGTTACGTCAAACTTTTGACATCAATTAAAGACCGTTAGATTATGGGATTTACCTCTGCGCCCATTCGAATGGAATGTGATACAGGGTCGAGTTTAAAGTGAGCGAGGGAGAAACATTGCTCCAATACTCTAAGCACTTCTCACATTGGTGACTCCTAAGAAGTCAGGCAATGACGCTAACCTCCCACCGAAGGAGAGATAATGCCTGCTGGGACGGTGGTTTAAGACTGAGCTTATTTTAATAATTTCAAAACCTGTAATGTCTGGGTTTTTAATGCGATCACATCAGTTATATCTACGAGCATATGTCGTATATCTTAGCCAATTTAGTGGTTCATGGTTATTCGATATAACTAATTTGCATACGCATCTTATTAACAACCCAATTTATATATATATATATATATATATATATATATATATATATATATATATATATAAACTAATCTTCAAAGTTTCGAGAGGACACAAACATACAAATATTAAGCTTTATATATAATATCTTACATTAATTGTAATGCATGACTAATTCTCGACAACAGACAATTTTTTGGCCAGACATTTCTAAAGGAAGATAAAATTAGTCATAGTTATAGATATATACTTATTCTGCTTGGACATTCTTTATCATTGGAAATAATTTTTGCTTGATTGTCAAATATACGAACAAAAATGTCGGCCAAATCGTTTTTAAACTTTTTAAGCAAGAAATAAAGTGCAAAATAAACAATTTCTAATAACCATTATATCACCCCCCCCCTGTCTTTAATTCTCTGTTATTCTCTGCCACTTTATTTTATCTCCCTTTCTCAAATTTCTGATTCCCTCTCCTTTTCGATTCTTCGCTTTCTTTTCCTTTTTATTCTCTTATTTCCTCTCCATTACTAACCTTTTGATTTCCTCACATTTACTCACCAGCAGTCACGATCCGATTACACAGTAAATATTACAGAACCCAAACCAGATCAACTTCAGCAGCAAGTAAGTCATTCCTACTACCACTCCACACATATTAGCAGTTCTTTCAAGAATCAACACTAAGAACTCCAGATAAAAAAAAATTCTGTCAAGACTGAACAATTTTAACTTGAACTATCTTTGTATCTACAAACAATTCTCTCTCTTTCTCTCTCATATATATATATATATATATATATATATATATATATATACACACATACACTGCGTGCCAAATTATTATCGAGATAACTTTTTTTTCTAATATTTCAAAACCCGTCCAATCAATTTACACAAATTTTTCACACAATGTTGGCAAAACTGAACTGCGCAATCGCTGAATTTTTTGTACTGATCTACGCAATGTAAACAAACTGGCGCCATATTTGTTATTAGCACGGTGATTTGAGCGTGCCAAATTATTAGAAAAGTATAAGAATTTAGTGAAAAGATGGGCCGTAAAAGCAGTTTAAGTGATACTGAAAAGAAAACTATTACCTAAGAACTCTCAAAAAGTAAATTTACCCTAGAAATGTTTAAAATGATAGGGAAGTGTCATCAAACAGTGAAAAATTCACCGCCGACCCTGCACAAGTACGCAAAAGGGCAGATAAAGGCAAGCTGAGGGTTATTTCACGTCGTCTCGATGTCGGTATCTGAGGGAAATATCAACAACATCGAAGCCTCCGTTGACGAGAAATCACATTCAAAATCGATTGAAATGGGCCGAGGACAATATGAAGATTGATTTCTCTAAAGTTTTGTTCACAGACGAAACTCGAACAACACTTGATGGGCCAGATAGATGGTGCAAAGGCTGGGTAATGAACGGAAAAAATCGCCATCAGTGTTTGAGACGCCAACAAGGCGGTGGAGGCATAATGATCTGGGGTGGTATTATTGGAAACACATTAGTGGGCCAATGGAGAGTACCAGATGGCGTCAAAATGACTGCTGATGCATACATAGCATTTATGAAGGAGCATCTTGAACCGTGGATGGAAAGGCAAAGAGTTGCCTTCAAAAGGGCCATTGTTTTTTATGCAAGATAATCCTCCCTCACAAGCTGCTCACAAGACTACTGAATATTTGAAAGAGTTAGGCTTCGATGGGCCTCGAAAAATGAATTGGCCAGCAAATTCTCCGGATTTGAACCCAATCGAAAACCATTGGAGCCTCATGAAGCGAACACTGTACGCCAACAGACGACAATTCAGGAGCAACACTGAGTTATGGGAAGCAATTCTTGACATATCTCGCGGCATTACAGCAGATGACATCCTACAATTAACAAATTCTATGGATCGTCGACTTTTTCAAGTAATTTCAAAACAGGAAAAGCACATTCCCTATTAATTTGTTTTAAACTGTGCCTTTGTATCTGTTATTTGTTTGATTATCTTATTTATTAGCTTCTTTTGATCATAAAAATTCACGTTCAACATTAATAAACGTTTTGTTTGCTTAATTTTGGGAATTTTACTAAACCTTTCTAATAATTTGGCACGCTCAAATCACCGCACTAATAACAAATATGGCGCCAGTTTGTTTACATTGCGCAGATCGGTACGAAAATTTCAGTGATTACGCGGATCAGTGTTGCCAACATTGTGTGAATTTATTGGACGGTTTTTGAAATATTGGAAAGAAGTTATCTAGATAATAATTTGGCACGCAGTGTATATATAAAACCATTATATTCTGCCTTTGTTTTAACGCTCATTATAACACTAATGCATGCAGTATTTATTCCTAATTAGATGTTTATTAAGTGCGTTAATTTCTGCAACAAACAACAAAACAAAATCAGTGTACTGAATAGTGGTAAGAGAAACACATTCAGCACGAGTTGGAAGAAGATTTAAATGAAAAATAAAACATAGTACATCTATTCGTTGACTTCACTTGAATGTAAAGGAAAAATCTAAGTTTCACTTACCCTAACAAAGCAGAAACCTTCGACAGGATCAAATTCCAGCGTCGGGCACCAGGTAGTGAATGCTACAGGGTGTTTCCAAGTGTAAAGTAGGACTCGCTTGGATACGGCCACGGCCAGACGGAGGCGATACTCGCACGGTCGACTGATGGCGTATAAATGACAACCTGAGAGATATGAACGTAAACACAATTATTCAGTCAACTAGTTTACCTTTTCAGCCCAGTGTGTTGAAAAAGAAAAAAAGATGATAATGATTTAGAATAAATATTAATAAAGTAATATTAAAAACAAACATTATCTTTCAAGTTTATCAACAGAGATATCACTCTTTTATCCAGAAGACTTGCGAAATGGACGTTTTAGTGAATGGTAACGGTTAACAAGCTAGCTTACGGAACCATTACTACTGAATAGTTAGTTTGGTATTCTCTGGGAGCTCTATAGTTGCGGCCTTGAATTAAACCAATTTAAAGAAGGAGGGTATTTTTCAGTACGCCTACATCGCTATTGAATGTGACACAAGGTCAGTTTAAAGTGAGTTTGGCGGCGATACCGTAAAAAATTACTCAAGCCACATCGACATTTCCTCTTTTTTTTGGAGACGACTCAGCTCAATCGCCGGGTAATGATCCCAGCCTCCTTCTAAAGGAGTGGAACTGGCTGGAAAGATGCTCCCTGGGGCTTGAGCCTGTTATTAATTCCAACTTTCCTTGATCGAAGTAAACTTCGATAAAAGGGGAGTATAATAAGCTTCCAAAGAAGGGGTAAGTGTTAGCGAATAAACCGAGTTTATTACTACTCACTCGGTGCTCCATCGTTGTAACCTTGTGTATAACTAAGATAAGAACGGGTAATATTTAGCGAATGCATTTGGATTACTATTACTACGGAGTTCAATACTTACTGAGTAATCGATATTTGAGGCCTTGAGCTATATTAAACTAAACGTCGTAAAGAAGGTTACCTCGGTATGTGTAATAGTTAAAGAGCTTGTGACGCTGACCATTATTTAGTCCAGAAACCTTAAGTGTATTTTCCCGAGGTTTAGTATTATTTTCCTTTTTGTTTCCATTTTCTCCAAAACTTCGTCGTTGCTCGCATGTTCGGTCTATGTTATCCTCAGCATCCTTCTGAAGAACCACGTTTCTGTTGCTTCAAGTCTCCTCTTCATCTTCGAGGAGATCGTCCAGCACTCACTGCTATACAGGAGGACAGATATCAAGTAGCAGTTTAGTACTCTTTTCCTTGTTTCTAGCAAAATTTTATTAGTATTTATTAGTATTCCGCTTTGTTTCTGGAATGCATCTCTGGCCATCCCGATACGGATTTCAGTGTCACACTTTCCGTCTTCTGTATCTGTCTATATTTCTGAGATAAGGTATTATGTACACTATTTACATTATTCGGACTATTGTCCTCATCTTTGTCGCCGTATTTATTAGAACGTTTCGGCCGTTGTACGCTCCGGCCTTCTTCAGTTGGTTGGAATGTTGAACTGAAACCTTTATTTCGCTCGCTGGGGTAGACTGTTCTAGTTCCATGTGCCATGTCTAATGGATATCAGTTATCAGTTATCTCCTGTTAATTCAGCTCTCCAAGTTCTCCACTACCTTAACCACGTATTGAACTCACAACTCTTTGGGTCCTGTCACTGGATCTAAACAACGCCTTTATCCATTGTGCCATGTGTCCTTAAGTGGCAGTGGAGAACTTGGAGAGGTGAATTAACAGGAGACATCTGATAACTGATATCCATTAGACATGGCACGTGGAACAAGAACAGTCTACTCCAGCGAGCGAAATAAAGGGTTCAGTTCGACATTCCAACCACCTGAAGAAGGCCGGAGCGTACAACTGCCGAAATGTAGTGATAAATATGGCAACAAAGATGAGGTCAATAGTCCGAATAATGTAAATAGTCTAATTTTATTTCCAAACATTCATTTTTTACATGGGATTCCGTTACATAAAACCCGCGCCCAGCGGTAATGGTTTCCTTACACTTTGGAAAAGACAGTAAAAATGTTGCAGATACTTCGGATTTCAGTGTCACACTTTCCGTCTTCTGTTTAAACACTTCCCAGATATCTATATTTCCATACTTGTTTGAATCTTTGTATTTCCGATTTCCCGCAATTCGGGCTTCAAGCTCAACCTTTGGCTAACAATCATGAATTCTGCTTTCTTGCAGTTGATGTTTAATACTTTCTTCTCGCTTCCTTTCACTTTTCTATGTGCCGTGTCCCTTCAGGACGTAGGCGATCATGGCTCTCCACTTCCCTCTATCCCTTGAAGCTAAGTTCCTTCCCTCTACCACCTCTCCCAGACCACGTTCTGTTATCCACTTACTTAAAGCCGCTAGGTATGTCATGCGTTGTTTTCCCTTGTCTCTCCTTTCCCTCTATTCGTCCCGTGAGTATCAGATTCTCCAGGTCCTCCTTCCTCATTATGTGCCCCAGAAACTTCAGCTGCCTCTTCCTTTTAAGTATAAGCCTGTCTCTTGTTTGCATCCTCTCTAGGACCTCATCGTTGCTCACACGCTCGGTCCACGATATCCTTAGCTTCCTTCCGTAGAACAACATCTCCATCGTCTCGAGTCTCTTCTTCATCTTTGAGGAAATCGTCCAACATTCGCTGGCGTAAAGAAGGGCAGATGTCCCGTAACAGCTCAGTATTCTTCTCTTCGTAACCAAAGAAATCCTCCTGTCTCGCAATACTCTGCCCAGCTTTTGGAATGCGTCCTTGGCCATAAAAGTGTTCGTAGCTTTCTTTCTGCGTCTGCTATCAACACTGTGTCATCTGCATACCTTATACTTTTAAGATTGTGGCCGCCAATGATAAATCCTGGTAGGACGTCTAGATCTTTCAGAATAGCCTCGCTGTATAGGTTGAAGAAATAAGTTCGTTGAGAAGACATATCCTTGTCTTACACTCATTTTCTATTTTTGCATATCTGCTGAACTCGTTTTCTGTTCACAAAAAATATTAAAATAATTACAAAAGCATTAAATTCAAACTCTGAAATTTATATATAGGCTACAGTTAATTAAGTGTGGGCACTTTTCTGTTTTGAAAGAAAACTACAACAAAAACGGTAATGCTGGATATTTTCATTCGCAGATGATAAATAAAAATGAAACAAGGGAGATAACTACCTTTGGAACCTTCTAAGCGGTTGTCCTTGCAGTTCAGTTTTGATTTAACGCAAAACTCATCTTCAACGCCTTCGAAGTCGCTTAATCGAAACACATAGACTTTACCGTCTTTTCCTGGAAAGAAAAATTAGGCGTTGTTACATTCGGTTTGCTTGGCCAGCAATAATTCTATTTTAAATATTATATCGGCAATTCCTTTGAATGTTATATATTGCTTGAACTTAAGAAATGCCGAAAAGAGAACGATATATTTTAAAGACAATTTGCACACGATAAATTATTTATGTTTGCGTATTCTTTTTAATTGGTTGTAGAAAAAATAATTAAAATTTAGAAAAAGTTAATAAAAAGTTAACTGTTTAAGGGAAAACGATATGACATATAAATTTTAGGAAAATCTATGACAAGGTAGAAAAGTCCTTCGAGCGAAAGTGACGTTTATGTTGATGTGGTTACGCATGTGCATAAAGGTGAGGGGACTCTGAAATGTTAAATTTAAATTTTTAAATCTTACTTATTATAAAACGCAGATTGTGTGTGTGTGTGTGTCTGTACATTTATATATTGGATCGGATTTCCTACATTTTTCAATGGATTTCAACAAAACTTCACAGGACTACGTAAAAAAACTTGCGGTGGTTCTGACAGCGCCCAAAATTGGAAAAATACAATTGTTTTTGCACGAAATCAATTTGAAAACACGATTAAGAGGCATTAATGAAAGGGGGACAACTCATATCGAGTTATACTTATTAATATCGAGTTATACTTATTATAAAACCCAGGTTGGTTGGTTGTGTGTGTGTGTTCGTTTATATATGGGATCGGATTTCCTACATTTTTCAACCGATTTCAACAAAACTTCACTTTTTTTTGGCAGGTAGTGTTTCTTATTGTCTTTCACACTTTTTTCTTTATTTTTACATTCAGAATGCTTTAAAAATTCCATTTACAAGACAATTGTTTATAATAAAATTCTATTCAATCCGTAGACTCATAACGATTGAAAATAAGGTTTTTGTTCGAGTTTGGGTTTGACCAATTCGTAAAAAAAATAAAAATAAAACTAATTAAGACATGCGTGTCCTTAAACAATAATCTTTGTCAATTTTATTTTTCAGTCTTTATGATGGTCGATACTTGATCTATCTCTTACTGTTACATCCCCGGGTAACGCCGGGTTCTACTGCTAGTTATATATATTTTTTTAAATATATATTTTGGGTATATTGTCTCGCCGATTTCCTTTACTTTTCTTTTTTTGGTTTGTTTATGTTTTATAATTTTTATTAATAAAATATCCCAAATTGTGACAAGAGAAGTTTTGCCAAGAAAGGTGAAATATAACAAGAATCTAGACGTAAATTTACTGTGGATGTTTTAGCAATTAAAAAACTTAATTTATTTTCATCTAAGTAAAATGCTTTCTCTTTTGATTAAAGTATCATTTTTTTTTTTTTAAATCAAAATTATGTTCAAACTCATTACAGTGAGTAGCTAATGCAATGAATGTGTTGTTTTGTAAAAGATCTCTCTTGTGTTTATGTAATCTATTATTTAAATGTCTTGGGGTTCCTCCTATGTATTACTTGGGGCAATTATTACAGGTGTTAGAGTAAATTCTTCGTTCCAGTTTTACTTTCTAAAGGACGAGACGCGTTACACGAGAAAAAAATTCCACTTTGTCATTGATTTTCTTAAAATAACGACTTATATATGAATTGAAAGTTGGATTCATACCTAATCAGAAATTGATAAATAAACAAGAAATAAGGTAGATATAAAGTGGGGGATCAATTATATATTACAATCAATATATAAACTGATGCCTCAATTTATGGCCACCATAGTTTCGATGCATTTATATTGCAGAGAATGTAAATAAATCTAAAAAAAACAAAAACAAAACAAAAAAAAAAAAAAAAAAAAAACATGCCAGTTCATCGTATCAACATTTTTACGACTTATTAACCCTGTGCAAGTTATTTAAAGCCAGAAAATATTTTTAGATTTTAAGACGTTTTTGCTGAGGAGATAGTAAGGATTTAATGATACAAGTTTTATTAATAAACTCATATCTGCGTGAAGAGGTGGGTTCATATCTTTCCCGAGGGTATTTGCGTGTCAATATAACGAACCCAACTGGAATTGGAACTCGGCTATTCGATTAACAATTCCAAGCCATTATCAACTGCACCACCCGCACATCCAAGATTACAGCACCTGGTGGATGGTATTGAAGAAAGTGGGGAAAATTGGTTACATTTCTAAGAGTTATTATTTTAAGTTTGGGATATATGATTTGCATCATCACAGATTCTAAGCTGATGGACAAATTGAAAAAAAAAAAAAAAGTAAATAATTCCCTTAGAATTATTTGGACAAATTAAAAGATCTAGTGCAGAGCTTGCGAGATAGTATATTGAGAGTTTAGTGCCTGAAATAAAAGAGAGGGGGGAGTGGAGACCAAAGACAGATGTGCAGGGATAACATAATTCAGTAGTTAGCAACTGACAGTCAGTCAGTGATGTGCCATACGTGATACTCGCTTAGGCGATAATCACGGCGACTGTTACGACGAGCTACTTTCGTTGGTTCCCACATTGCATGAATTTAAGCGAACTACTAGGCTGGCATCTCGATCCCACCCTTTCACTGTCAAAACGGTTAAATGTAAAACTCAAACAGCTTCTTCTCTCGCACTTCCCTTTACTTGCTTCCCCCGATGACTATAATCTTCAAATATTCAAGTGTAATGTCAATCAACATCTGACAACCTGAGCTTGTTCTCCGTCCTCCTTTGTATCCTTTCCCCAAACATGCCTCTTTACTCTTGTTCTCAATCCTTTGTAACCCCTTGCGTGTTAGTCACACTCCCGCCTTGCTTGGGGTGAATTAATTCAAAAAAAAAAAAAAAAAAAAAATGTACCTTTCGATACCTGACTGACGAGGTAGATTATTTCCCGCGGTAAACCAGTTGCCATCCATGGCTATAGAACTCAGTCTGTCTTGCTATTTACCCGTAGATGGGTGAGAAGAAGAGGATTCATACCTATCCCAAGTGAATGTAATGAATTCGACTGGAATTCGAATCCGGCTCTCTGATTCCTCAATCCGAGACGCTATCCATTAATCCACTGTGTCTCCTAACTGACAGACAGATATTAAATAAACTTGTTCAAGATCGTTATAAGAGGCGGGAAATAAGTTATATTACTTTACGATCGGCCGCAGGCGGAAACAGCGTCTCATAACAGACGTATTTGCTGATCGATAGCAAAGCATTTTTCCCGCAAAAAGTAATAAAATATTATGTTGTCTAAAATGCGCTAATATGATTCATAGTTCGAACTGAGCCGTGAAAAGTTCGGAGTTTGTGGCGATGGACCGTTGCTAAGCATATTATCATAAACCAGGCGTTTTAAGTGCTGTCGAATGCCCTAAAAGCCTAATAACAGTAAATAAAATTTTACTTATAATAGGAAAAATAGAATTAGTTATAATAGTCGATATTGTAAGGAATACGATCGAAAGAACAAAAGGTAGATGAAGTAACCGTTGTATTAAAGAAAAAACTGGAAATTATTAGACATTTTTGGATTAGTATTCCATCTAATGAGAGGTGTGGTGTAATGGATAACGGTTTGACATGAAAATCGGGGGGGGGGACAGAGATCGAATTCCAGTCACGTCCCTTACATTCACTTACACGCAAATACCCTTGGTAAAGGAATGAATCCACATTTTCTCCCCTAGCTAGGGGTTAATTAGTAAAACTTGTATCCGTCAATTATTATTATCTAAAAAGTAATTCTCACAGTCTAAAAATATTTTTTGCTTTAAATAACCTGCAAAGGGTTGATAAGCCGGAGGAAACAATCAATAAATACACACACACACACACACATACATATATATATATATATATATATATATATATATATATATATATATATATGTTTGTGTACTCGAGACAAGCACTTCGAGGCTGACGAAAGAACGGTTTGAAATAGTCTATTCCGATGTTGAGGTAATTTTTTGTATATATATATATTATATATATATATATATATATATATATATATATATATATATATATATATATATATATATATTTCTTGATATATTACAGCAAAAAAAAAATCGGAGCTCACACAAACATTATATATATATATATATATATATATATATATATATATAGGATAGGATAAAAAAGAAGTAGGAAACAGAACTTAATCTAGCATGTATCACTTTATTAAAGCTTCGACAGAGATCAAGATAGAAATCATAAAAAATGAATATATATAAACGCAACTGGAATTGGAACTCAGCCCTCCGATTAACATTTCCGAGTCATTATCCATTACACCACCCGCACACTTACAGCAGCTGATCTTCTCAAGCAGTCACCCATCTAGGTATTGACAGGTTCAAAGTTGCTTAAGTTCGGTGACCCTATGGGAACTGGTTTATAACGTGAGCCGAATTTTCTGTTGAATCACAATTCTTAAGTTAACGAGTGAGTCATTTCATTGCAAATTCTACAAGTACCCATAACTGTGGAAATAGCCCCATTGCTTCATTAAATATTTGTGCATCGCAACTTTTTTCTTAGTATGAATGCAGGTCATTATTTAAAGAAGTAAGATGGTACAAATAAAAAAAATTCAGTGACAAGGTTTTTCTTTTCATTTCACAGAAGCAGACGTTAAACGTATGAGAACGTTATCACTTCCCTTATTTACTTTCTTTTCTGTTTTCTTATTTTGTTTATTTTCTTTTTCTTATTAAAACCAAACGACGTTCTGATATATCTTTTTCGTCCGCCTTTTCTCGCAGTTGAAACAAAGTAGTCCATTATTTATCCGAGGTAATGGTAGGGCGTTACACACACCCTAACCCTCTTACTAACTAACGGGGAGGGGGGCAAGCAGAATTATATGATATGATATTGCGCTTCTAAAAGAAAAAAAAAACATTGCTTAAAATAAAAGAATATTTTCAGATAATGGGTTTCTCGAAAATCTGGAGAAAGAAGAACAGAAACAATGTTTGATTAATTTTACTTACCTTTATCAGCTCTTAGTAGCAAAAGACCATGCTGTTCAATTATGCTGATTTGTTTTGCAGCAATTGATTTATCCAGCACCAAACGCGGAGATACACTCTCTAAAAAAAAAAAAAAAAAATAAATATGAAAAGCTTTGAAAAATATTATGGTTCAGTAAAAAGGGATGAAATAATATAAAATCTGTTCCTATGTTTCTCTTCAGGACGTTAACGATCATGACCCTCCACCATTTCCTCTCCTTTGTTGCTCCTAATAATTTTTTGAGTTTTTTCCTAAATCCTGTTTTGTCATCAATTTATCATCCACAAACTCGCTAGATAGGTTATGCATTATTTTCCTCTGTCCCTCTTGCCTTCAATCTGTCGTGTGAGCATCTGATTTTCCAAACCCTCTTTTCTTCAACTCTTTTCCCGATGTTAGGTATAAGTATCCTTTTTGTTTCCATTTTCTCTAAAACTTCGACATTACTCACATGTTCATTCCATGGTATTCTCAGCATCCTTTTGTAGAATCACATTACTGTTGCTTCAAGTCTCTTCATCAACTGTGAGGAGATTGTCTCGCATTCACTGACATATGACTGATATAATCTAACAGTTTAATACTCTTTTGTTTTGTTTCTAACGAAATAATGGGAGAAATTCAGACAATTTTTTTTTAATTGATGGATTTCTTCTTTTTTATATGCCGTGTCCCTTCAGGGCATAGGTGATCATGGCTCTCCTACACTTTCTACTCCTTATAGCCGTTATCAATTTTGCTAATGACCCTCCGTTCAATTTACACTTGCTCATTAGGTAGGTGGTTTGCTTCTCCTCAATAATCCCTGTTTTCCAAGTCTTTCTTCTTCATGTGAGCAAAAAACTTCAGCTATCGCTTCCTGATTTTGAATATAAGTGTTATTTCAAGTTGCCATTTCAAGACCTCTTCGTTGCTTCCATGGGGTTCACATTATCCTTCTCTAGGACCAAATTTCTCTTGCTTCCAGTTTCAAGAGGATGGATGAAACATAATAATCCAGCACTCTTTTCTTTGTCTCTAAAGAGTTTTTTTCTGTTTTGCATATATTTTGGGATGCATCTTTCACTAGTGCGCTTCTGGATTCCGATGTCATATTTTCCATTCTTTATTAAGACACTTATCAGATATTTAAACTTCTGTACTTGCTTTATGTCGACATCTGCAGTTTGTAACTTGTATCTTAGTCTTTTTTTCTTGCTGATGACCATAATTTCCGTCTTCTTGCCATTGGTGCTTAGTTTTTTTTTTTTTTTTCTTTTAGAACCCTGTCTAGGAGGTCCTGTAGTTTTCTTTCCGTGTCAGCCATCAATAGTTTCATCTGCGCAGCAGTTTATGAATATTCATACAGGGTGCGATGGGTAAATTGTCGACATTTTATATTTTTCAGTTCGCGCATGCGCATTGTTTTTGATTTTGTCGACTGCACATTTTAGTAGAGTCAGTTGAACACTGTCTGTGCGAAAAAGAGCACAATGACGCAATTCACTCTGTCAGAAATGTGGAAACAGTATGCTGTACTGCGTGACATTCGCGCCGGAAGCCCTAATACGAATATTTGAGAGTGTTTGGGTGTCAATCAGAAGGACAGTACAGAGGATTCGGAAAGAGTTGGATGAGTCTAATGGTTATTACGAAGGTACGGCAGCTCGGAAAACTCGCTCTGATCGTTCGGATAAGAACTCACAAATTTGTTGGTTAGGGCCTCAGACTCAACACGGAAGCCTACATCAAGTACCTTGAGGAGGTCGTTCTGCTCTGGGTCAAGAGGGTAGCTGCCGAATGACCCTATGTCTGGCAACAGGACTCTGCATCATGCCACAGAAGCATGGCTGTCAGATAATTTCTACCATCAGATTATCTTGAAATGTTGCTCCACCAGTTTTTCTAGGTGTCGTGTCCCTTCTGGACGTGGGCTATCATAGCACTCCGCAACTTCATGTCCTTCGTACAAGTCTATGTTCTGCTATCTATTTACATAAGCTTGTTAGCTAGGCCACTCATTGGTTTTCCTTTGTCCCTGTTGACTTGAATATATCCTGTGAGTGTCAAATTCTCAGGCCTTTTTTTTCTCATTATGTGTCCCAGAAATGCCAACTGACTTTTTCCAATTTTATGTTTGTTATTTTTTTTCCATTTTATTTTATTTAAAACTGCTTACATTCTCTATGTCATGAGTTGCCTCTGTATCCAGATTTTAGATCCTGGAAGACATAATTTGGGCTTGAAGGTCGAGCCAACAAATTTTCAGTACCTCCTCGTATAACCGATCTAATAATTCTCTTAAATATTTTTGTTTCTGATCACACTTATCCGGTTATAAATTTCCTAAAACTGTGATAGAAAATATGGTTGATCATCATTAGATATTGGAGCTTTAAACTGAAATTAAAAAACATACACACATTCACAACACCATCTTGAGACGTAACCCGATCGACGCAATGAAATGAGGACTACGCATGTCGAGAAAAAAAAAAGTATTATTAAGTCAACCATTTTTTTTAATTCTAAATAAATCGAGTGTAATTTTAACCATTGGATTTCAACCATTTTTTTTCGTTCAGTGATCAATAAGAAATACAAAACTCATGTCTGGGACGGAGCCAGAGATACACACTGGATATTTGAAACCGTTGAAACTAATTGCTTTCTCAGTATCTAGCATGTCTCTGGTAAGCTATAGGTTTTACAACTTAGCGAGTCAATGTATCTGGATGGCAGTGAGATGAGAATAAATATAAGAGGTTGCATCAGTGCTACCTGAATTTGAGGTTGAATCAGTAATTACCTGAATTTTCACCTGAGATTGATTTAAAAAAATTATTTGTCTCCCATTCTAATTCAGGAAAGTGAGTAGAGTCGACAATTTCTCAGCATCTCCTTGCATTTACAAAGACCGATTCCTGCGTTTTGTCGTAGTCATCTTATGTAACCAATGTACCAGCAACTTGTTTCCCGTGTCGATAGGTCTGTAGTCTCATGATAAAGAAGGCATTTATTTTGCACAAATATTTTCAGCATAATCTCTTCCTTTGTCCATTCGCTTCATCGAACGTTTCTCAGTTAATTATATAGCTAAAGTAATTTACAATGAAAAATGAAATGATAATGGATCGGCCGAGGGAAGAGAAGAAGAAAAGAAAAAATAATTTGTGTGAGTCAGCTTGGGACGTTCCTTTGATAAAGGCTGACACGATTCGCAGAACTGTGGAAGTGACATGCATTTTTGTCAGCCTGCATCATGTCTATGCATCATAATCTATAAATAATTCTTTTAAATAGTACCTTTTCTTTAAGAATTTAAAATCTAAATGAAAGTTATATTTTTCGCCATAATTTGTATTTTAATATTGAAATATTAAAAAAACAAAATACAATGAATGTTGAAAACTAGCTAAATTTGTGACGACATAAGATCTAAAGTTTGATCAGGAGTTTCATAATTGCTACTGAATGTCATATGGAATAATTCTGTGTAATTACCTAGCGCCATTTGCATCTCCTCCAACATTTCCATTAACGCAGCAACAGCCTTGTACTTAATGGGAACTGAGATGACTTCATTACAAAATATCGAAATAGTCTAACACAGTGCCAGGATCATTGAAACTATGCTTTGAAAGTTACATCTGCGCTGAGCAAGATTTATGACACGGGTGAAAAGCTATTGTTTATCAAAACCGATATGTTCGCCAAACTAGCATCCGGCCAGCGTAACAAAAGAACATGACGAAAGCGATACAGAGAATGCTAAAAAAGAACCATTATCTTGTAGAATAGAAGCTGTGGATTGGTACATAGTTTAATTAGTATAAAAACTTTCCGATAACCTTCCTTCCTGAACAAAATCAAAAAGTTTCCTGGTGAAGGGTAATAACACTGTAAAACTGGAAATCTTTAGACGTTATGAATTTCAGTGCAGTACTAGATTGGCGGTTAGGTTTTATCATTTTACAGTTGAAATGGCTAGATGTAACGTAAGTTCTATGTTAACAGTTTATTCTCTCGCACTTCTCGCTTGTGGAACTCTTTATTACTCCCTGGTCTAATTTGATCTTCAAAATTTTAAATGCAATGTCAATCGTTATCTTCTGTCTTCTTAATTCTTGTTATTTTATTGTTATCTCCCTTTAATAGTTTATATTCTTATATTCTCTAACAATCAGTAACCCCTTGCTTCTTAGTGGCTTTATTGCATTGCTTGGAGAGAAACGATTAAAAAAAATTCTTGCAAATCTTTTATCTTCTGCACATTCTACAAACCCCTGCCCCCCACCCTCCCAAAAAAAGAAAAAAAAAACGCGTCCAGCGTGGACATCGATGGCCATTAACGGATTCTCAAAAAGTTTTTAATACCATTTTAAATCTTTATTCACAACATAAAGCTATATGTTCATTCCTCTAGAACGAAACCAACCCCTGTATCTATTCCTCAAGAATGGGCCTTCACATAATACGAACCGCGGGCTGAATGTGGCCCGCGAAACTATCCAATGTGGATTATGAGGGGGTGGGTTTAAAATAGAATTTTTGTTTGTGCTCATCAAAATAAATTCAGCGACTACTCGCATTCGAAAAATTTGGTTTTGCTGAAGCATGATTTTATTCGACCAATACTTCACTGACTCTTTATCTAATTAACCCATTTGAGTCTTCCTAGATAAAAAGAAAAACAATTTTCTCTCCCATTCCCTCTCTCTATATATCGCTTTCTGCCCACTTATACTCAGTAATCTACTGTAAAAATTTACTCTTGTAACCCGCGATTAATTTTTTGCGATCAATGTGGTCCTTCATTTTTTTTTAATTCTGAAGGCCCACTCTAAAACTAATAATAGTCTTGCCATTATTAGTTAGAAAGTTAATGTATTATTTAGTAGTACAAGAAGCATTTGGAACGTCCTATACAGATAGCCATTATTGTATTTATATATAGCATTCATTTGAAATTAAAGTAAAAGGAAAACTCCATTGACGACTTGATTCGAAGCATAACAGAGACAAGTAAAAAAAAAATAGCTTCTATTTATAAAATGCGTTGAGAAACAAGTCTGTAAAATCAACAAGAAACTTAAGACAGAAGGTTACTTAATTAAAGACACAAAAAATATAAGATACAGGAAATAAATAAATATAAATGTTTGTGCGCATCTGGATATATGTTATTTAAAAAAATATTCCAAATTTACAAAGTAGTTTTCATTTCATTTCAAAGAAATCATGGGCGCAGATTTTGGGAATTACGTTGATGTCTTCTTTTTTTGTTGCTATCTTCGTATTTCGGAGAGATGTGTCTTTGTTGTGATGTAATACGTATCATATTCCTAAATACGACTCGGAGAGAATTTAAAGTTTCTTTTAAGCATGTCATGAATCTTTTTTTTTTTTCAATAATTTCAACTCAGGTAAGGCAATAAAGCCACTAAGACCGGTGTGAAAGAATCCGAGAAAGAATTATCAAGACAGAAGATGACAATTGACATCGCATTCAAATTTTAGGCCAAATGAATTCAGATTTTAACGATGACTATTACGCATCTCTTTTCCTTGTTTCTAACGAAATTTTCCTTTTTCTTGATACTTTACTTAGCATTTGGAAGGCATCTTTCACTATCCCAATTCGCTTTTGTATTTCGGTTTGACATTTTTAGTCCCCTTTTTTTAAAATACTTTCCCAGATATTTAAATTTTCTTCTTTTTTTTAAAAATCATTTCGTCCCAAACATAGCAATAAAACCACAAAGACGCATTGATGCTGCATTTAGATTTTCCAAGATCAAAGTTAGCAAGAAGAGAGTTCCACAAGCAAGAAGTGTGAGGGAATCATTGTTAGAAAAGAAAAAAACCCCAAAAAACTTACGGTTACATTTAGCAATTTCAACTGTAAACTGATGAGACCTAATTGCAAATCCAGTACCGCGTTTAAATTACTAAAGTGGTGGTACGAAAGAGGAAAGCTCATCAGAACAATTGCCATGAAAATATTTATAGAAAGAATATTAATCTCACACAATTCTAAGTTTATTTTTTTGTCAAAACAATTATAGATTGTCCTCTGAAACAGAGATGAACTTTTGGAACCAAACCCTGAATCCTCTTTACTACTTTATCGCTATTTCCATCGCAAATGTTCAGATTAGATCCATCCTTTACTTCTACCAGTTCAGACCTTTACACCTAATACTTGCTATGCTACTTCCACGGAGACGAATCATCCACATTTCCCCCGTATTCCATTTATAAGGAGAAAGTTCCACACAGCCAGGTTATTTCCCCTGAGAACTAATACTCTATGAAACAAACTCCCACGTAGATACTTCCCGGAACACTAGAATCTTAACCTCTTCACGTCAAGGAACGATTGCTATATATATCTTCCATATTCTCAAGGTCTTCACTTTCTCCATCTTTTTTGTACATTTACATCACATAACTCATTTAGTAACTTTCTACCAAGAGTCGATCTTGATCCCTGAATTCGTTGAACGTTAGTATAAAAAGAAATGAAACTTTCTTTTAATCGACTGATATAACCTTTTTAGTACGGTAGATGCTAACCTTCAGGAGAGCGACTCATTGCTCCTTCTCGAACTAAATTTCCGCTGACTTGAAAGTGGAAAGATTATATTGAATCAATTGCTATATCTGCAGCTAGAAAAGTTGGTCCTCTGTATCGTGCTAGACAGTTTTTTTTCTCTCGCCAGAATCTATCGAACATATTTATAACTACCATTCGACTTTCTTATGAATATTGCTTCCACATCTGTTCTGGTGCTCCTGATTATATATATATATATCTTATAAATATAAGTATACTCGTCAGGAAATATATATATATATATATAGTAATGGGTAGGAAAAATATGCATACCCGTACAAGTAACTGCATGTACGTAAGTATATTTATTCCTAAGGTGGAACAGAGCTATAAGTATATAGTAGTGAATATACATAATATCTAACGTCGATAGCACTACTCGGAGTTTCATATATATATATATATATAAGATTCTTGATAAAATCCAAAGAAGAATCAGTAATTTCATTGGTATCCCAGCTTCAGTCACTTTTCCACCGTATTAATCTAACTTCCATCTGTCTTTATATAAATTCTTTTATGGTAATTGTTGTGTTGGACTGTTCTGTATGATACCTAAACTTTATGACTTTAAGCGCAGTACTAGATTGGCGGTAAGGTCTCATCATTTTACAGTTGAAATAGCTAGTTGTAACCGTAAGTTCTATGCTAACAGTTTCTTCTATCGCACTTTTCGCTTGTAGAACTATCTTCTGGCTTATTTCTTTCTAGTCAACTTTGATCTTCAAAAATTTAAGTGCATTGTCAATCGTTATCTTCTATGTTTTTAATTCTTGTTCTTTATTTTTTTACCTAGCTCTCTTTAATAGTATTTAACTGATTAACTCTGGATCAAAAACTTGGACATTATCTGTTCGTTTTGAAAGACGACTGGATGAAACACGTCCAGATCTACTTAGAAAAATCCAGAACATCAGTTAGAGATCCCCTGCAACGCTTAACACAATTTACGAAGAACTGAGACCAATCTCTCTTAAGCTCAAACAAGTTTGCAGTTTGCCGGCGACCGAGCGGACAGAGAAATCGTCCCATCCTTACTTCTATGACGTCTTTCTGGAAGTCTCTTCTCGTGAAAATTGACTTTCCCAGACACATAACTCGAGACTCAGGGTTGGATATTGGGGAGCAATACAAGCCCAAACATAGAGCGGTCGAAGGATGATGATGAATAGTATTTTTCATCATAGTGTCTAACACTCAGTAACCCCTTGCGTCTTAGTGGCTATATTGCCTTGCTTGGCGTGAAATGATTAAAAAAAGCACATGATGTTCAGATGAGTTACATTATTTAATTCCACAAATCCAGACTTTCATAGGTGGGATCCTCCATGCTAATTACATATGGCCCAAATATCCTCATTCCTTTCTTATTCTATGGGTAAAGAAGAGGTTCCACTCAGCTTCTTCCCAGAACTATTACCTTGTGGAACAAACTCCCAAAAGGATGCCCCCCAACCCCGTTCACTACATTCTTAACCATTTCAAGTGTCCGGTCAACCATTATCCATCCAACATATCCCCATAATATGTAATTGCGACTTTCTCATTTTAAGACTTAACAACCTCATTCAGTAACTGTTTAACTTGAGTGACTCTTTGGCTTTTGGTCTAGAATAGTATAAAAAAAAACATTTAAGCCAATAATTCCTCGATCTTCCTCAAGCCTACTTTGCATGGAGTAATCGTTCATTTCTTTGATTTGTCTCCTTAAATGAAAGACGGATTTTCGGACTGAGACACTACGGACACCGACATAGAAGGTGAAAAAGCGGTTTTATCTCCATCTCAAGTGTTTCTGTTTGATGAACCAGCGGATGTCGCCTTCTGAAGTTCGATCTTCTAAGCGGAATCCGCTTTAGTCAAAGGGTAATGAGAAGCAAAGAGGTGGATGAGGGATATTCGGAGATCAAGTGACAACAAACCCGGAAAGAGGGTATATCCGATTGCTGGTCTATACTGACAGGGATCGGGAGAGTGTTGGTACGGCCTTTGGTTACGAGGCCTCCATTTCCCTATTACCAGCCACCACTACGGAATGAGTAGATGGTGAGGATCGAATCCAGTTAAGTCTAGAGAAAACAAAATTATTAATGATAGTAATTTGGTAGACGATTTCAATGCACGGTAACCCTTAACTTCCTTGGAGTCTAAAATATAAAAAGCTATTTGCAGATGTCTGCAGACTACGTACGAAGCCTTGTATAATTCAACTGAACCAAGAGCATCAGTGACATTCAGATAAAAAACACAAAATAAACACCCGTGTTCGCAAACAGAAACACACTCGGATGACTTCAACGAATGCCGGCATTGATCGTTTGTTACAAATATATATATATATATATATATATATACACACAAAAAAAATTCAATATACAAAATTTAAAAGCATGCACATTCAATTTAAAAACAAACAAAACAAACTCTTTCCGATTTCCTTTCAAATACAGCCTGTCATGTCCGTTTATATTTTTTCTTGTTTCAATTTTTCTTTTTTAAAATGTTTCAATTTTTCTTCGGTAAAAAAAAAAAAAAAAAAAATTTATAAAAAAATGTAATAAACATTTTCACTCCTGCACTGAAGAGAATTCACTGCTTTCTTTAAAAAAAAAAATTATATTTCAAATTTACTTACCCTCAAGCACCATCAAGCCGACTTCAGTAGCCACAACCAATTTGTCGCCTGCAAGAGAAACAAAAAAGAAAAAAGAAATGTTATCAGGCTTTTAAACCCACGTTAGTCACATGGACTATTTAGTTACCCCAGTTTTTTTAAAATACACGTAATTCCAAGATGATAACTTTTTTCCTCCCTCCCTCTATTTTCCTAAGTGAGTGTGTGTAGCACACAGTGTGACGCAATTGTAGACCAGTTTTTGTGGGAAGCAGATGTCAGGAGACTATCCATTTTCGGACTAAGATTAAATATTCTACTAAAATACTTAACGATTTTGGGAATGGCCGACGAGAAATTTCTTAGTATGTTTTTTTTTTTTTAAACTGGTAGTAAATCAGCGATTCAATATAGGAATGAAAGCAATCATTCTATGATCGTAACTAACATGCGTAGGAACAAAAACTACAATAAATGCAATAAATAAGTCATGAAGTGGATTACCTCCCTTAGAGATATAGGGGCACGTAGTATTAGTATAAAAAAGCAGCGTTTCAAAAATCTTTTTCCATATTTTTTTGTTATTTGAACAGCTACTGCCCAGCATTTAATTTTCCACAACCGTTAAACACTTATAAGCACTCATATATCACCCACACATACACGCATGCACTCACGGTTTACAAAAAAAAAAAAAAAAATTTCTAATTTTTGTGAGAAAAGATAGTTTTTATTTTAAACAGGAAACCTATTTGGTTATTTTTTCATTTATATTTGAAATTTTGGGTTGTCACTTCTTTTAGTGAGCTAGAAGTAAAACCATAACGTGTATTATTTTGCCGATATGACGTTACACAACTCTTTCAAGAGGTGAAAAACCTCTCCTCGGTTTCTGTCGCCATTTAAAACAACATGCTATCACGACGGACATACTAAAAAACAAAAAAAAAAACAACAAAATAAACAACAAAAAACAAAAAAACAAAAAGAAATAAAAACAAAAAAAAAAAAAAAAAACCCAAAACCCCCAAAAACAACAACAAAAAAAAAACGCCCTAAAAAACGCGTTTTTAATAATTTAAATACCTTTGATGTTCAATTTAGATTTTATTTGAACGATAATAGCCTAAAGTTATTCTATAAAAAAGAAAAATAATTTTACATACTTAATGTTTTTAGACATTCTTAAAACTCTGGCACGATCACTCATCACATATCGACTCATAAATCATCCATTATAGACAAAATCATTCAGAATCTAAATGATTAGATACATGTTTTAACTTATGTCTTATACTAATTATGATTAGATCAGAAGCGATTTTATGATCATATCATAAATCATCCATTAGAGACAAAAAAATTACATAAAATTATTATAAAATTAATATTATCCATTATTATAAAATTGTATTATTTTAATTATCACATATCGACTCATAAATCATCCATTATAGACAAAATCATTCACACATGAATCATAAATCATATAGATCATAAATGATTGTATACATGTATTAACTTATGTCTTATACTAATTATGATTAGATCATAAATGATTTATGATCATATCGACTCTCGCCAACTCAAAATCTAAGAGAATGCTCAAAACTAAAAACACGGAATTAAATCATCCATTATAGACAAAAAATGAAACAACAAAATCTCCAGCATTTGTCCAAGAAATGTTTTAAAATTAAATTTACGGATCAATTAACTGGATTTTATAAAAGTTATGCTTAATTTTTGCGTAAAACATTGCAAAAAATAACGCTGTTACGTATGGTAGCCCGTCAGCTGTTATCAAGGTCAAATCATTTTTTTTTCTGTCAACACTAAGGCGCGTGTAAAACTTAAATAAAATTTGAGTACGTAGAACCAAAACCATTATTTTTTTCCTTCTTTAGGATTTTATCAAACTTAGTAGAGCGAATTATTTTATTTTTTTACATTGCATAAGGAATATTAAATAAATTAATTAAAAACTAGTTAAATGATACTTTTGGGTTTAATTCCGTGTTTTTAGTTTTGAGCATTCTCTTAGATTTTGATCTCATAAAATATTTAATTTCCACAAATGAGATATTTTTTTTTAAATTCTTTGATTTTAAAATGTATTAAACTAATGTAGGTGATACAATATATGAAAAAAAAAATATTGATCATGAAGACTTCATGAATTGATACTATTAACTAATTGCAGTCGAAATTATTGAATTATTTCCTTTTTGAACTTCCGTACACAAAATAGTCTGATAAATGCAAAAATAATTTTAAAAATTCTTTAAAAATTTTCCCACTTGAAAATAGCATTAAACTTTACTTTTTTTTTTCGATTATTCAAAGATACCTCTATTTAATCTCTTATTGCGAACAAAAAACGAACCAATTTTAAAACTGCACTCTAAAATTTCAAGTAAACTTTTAAAAAATAATAATTACACATAGATTTTTACATTGACCAGTCTGAAAGAATATATTTTATTAAATTATGCAAGCGCCAACTCTCTCTCATATATATATATATATATATATATATATATATATATATATTTATGTGTGTGCGTATATAAAAGCTGCAACTTTTCTATTATTCTTTTTATAATATCGATAAAAATCTTTATCCATTTTAAAGCAACCTTGAAAACCTTTATTCGTCCCCAGAATAAAGAAATTCATCACTATTTCTTTTAGTCTGCTAATGTTCTCAGGAATTTGTTCAACATATATATATATATATATATATATATATATATATATATATATATATTAGGATTACTGAATTATGTTTGGTAAGTTACGGTGTATATTTTAGCGTGTTTTTCTTTATATAACTAAATCTTTTTAGTCTTTTGTTCTCATTAAATAGCTATACGTTTACATCTATGTACAAATGAATATATTTCAATTTCAATGTACTGAATATCATAGAAATAATATTAAACATTATTTAGGATTTATGAAGTGATAGACTGTATGCAAAGCAAAAAGGTCTTATCCGCGGATTTGATATCCTTGTGATGATTATCCGCGGATTTGATATCCTTGTGACGATTATCCGCGGATTTGATATCCTTGTGATAATTAGCATTGCCGATCTCGTACTGGGATGAGATGTTAAATCCATGTGATAAATAGTGCGTTCCGCAACATTCACACGTACGGTTTAGAATTGCCATTTTTCAAATGAATATGATACAATCTTATTACAGAGCAGAACCGACGAAATTGTTTCAATCTAGACTATTTGATATTATCATTAATTCTACTCTTAGACGGAAACTACAGCATATACAAGCACCCCCCCACTATAAATAACGACTTGGGATGCATTCATTAAAAGTACGCCCCAAAGGGGTTTGAATACCCTCTATCCAGCATTGTATGAGACATAGTTACTAAAATAACCTGAGCTGTCCGTGTTTTCAATTTCTCGTTGCATTAGCTGAATTTGTAAATTGCAAACGGACCGCAATTACAGGAACTGAAGGGACAATTAGAAGGTTTGCCTGGAATGATGAGTGCGTGGATTAACTGAGATATAAAACGTAATTCAGATACTGATATCGTGTGGATTTGACTCGATACAATGTGGATGCTTAGGTACGTAGGTAGAATTGTTGAAAATGAGCTTGAACATAGGTAAATGTGTCTTGAAGTTGAGCGAATTAATGAAACGAGAAAAACGGCGTGTATTAGAAGAAGACAAAGCCCGACTGATTCGACATTTAGAGACAATAAGGATTATCTAAAGATGAGGAAAAAGTTAGAAGCAGTGGAAATTTGGTTCTACAAATGGATGCTGAAAATTTCATGGACGGAACGGGTAAGCAACAAGGAATATGACAACAGAAAGAACGCTTCGAATCAAAATCAGGAAAAGATTGCTGAAATTTCTTCGATACATAATGAGGAAGGAGAGCTTGAAGAGCAACCCACACGAGAGAGAGAGAGAGAGATAGAGAGATATATATATATATATATATAGAGAGATATATATATATATAGAGAGAGAGATATAGATATAGAGAGAGAGAGAGAGAGAGAGAGAGAGAGAGAGATAGAGATAGAGATAGAGAGAGAGAGAGAGAGAGAGAGAGAGAGAGAGAGAGAGAGATAGAGAGATAGTGTGGAAGCTTGTGTAAATGGATGGCGCAACGGAATGAGGCGGGAGTTAGGATCCTACGCAAAGGGAGAAAAACTGCTAAGGAACATGAGAAATTTGTGGAGAGCCATGATCGCCTATGTCTTAACGGGACGAGGTACGAAGATGAAGAATGTAGAATTTAATATTAGAAAATATAATTGAAACAGGATTAGAAAACACGTGCGATAGTTTCTTAAGTTTATCTTTGTAATAACAGAACAGGTTGAAGAATAATATTGCCTCAAGTGGGAAATGAAATTAAACAGGAATAAGTGCAAGAAAGCCCTACAAGGAAAAGAAAAGGAAAGAAAGACATTAAAATCGAAAAAGGAAAATCAGAATACAAGAAAGATAGGGGCTAGAGACTAGAAAGAGTAGATACAAGAAAAAGAGAATGTCGGGGTAGACACGAGAAAAAGGAGACGTCGGGGTAGACGCGAGAAAAAGGAGACGTCGGGGTAGACGCGAGAAAAAGGAGACGTCGGGGTAGACACGAGAAAAAGGAGACGTAAGAGTAGACACGAGAAAAAGGAGACGTAAAGTGTAGACACGAGAAAAAAAAGAGACGTAAAGGGTGTAGACACGAGAAAAAGGAGACGTAAGTGTAGACACGAGAAAAAGGAGACGTAAGGGTAGACACGAGAAAAGGAGACGTAAGTGTAGACACGAGAAAAAGGAGACGACACGTAAAAGGAGACGTAAGTGTAGACACGAGAAAAAGGAGACGTAAGTGTAGACACGAGAAAAGGGAGACGTAAGAAAAAAAGGAGACGTAAGAGAAAGACACGAGAAAAAGGAGACGTAAGTGTAGACACGAGAAAAGGAGACGTAAGTGTAGACGCGAGAAAAGGAGACGTCGGGGGTAGACGCGAGAAAAGGAGACGTCGGGGTAGACGCGAGAAAAAGAAGACGTCGGGGTAGACGCGAGAAAAAGGAGACGTCGGGGTAGACGCGAGAAAAAGGAGACGTCGGGGTAGACGCGAGAAAAAGGAGACGTAAGCGTAGACACGAGAAAAAGGAGACGTAAGTGTAGACACGAGAAAAAGGAGACGTAAGTGTAGACACGAGAAAAAGGAGACGTAAGTGTAGACACGAGAAAAAGGAGACGTTAGGGATGAGACTAGAAAAGAAATGTTTGGTTAATTTTCAAAGAACCAATTACCTTTGCATCATTATAACTACTAATCCTACTTAGCAGTTAAGAATAAAATTTGGAGAATATTAACATACGACAATGTTTAATGTAAATATAGTGGATTGAGAAAGTCATATCTTCCCCACCGACCACAAAATCTAAGCTACATCGAAGAAAAGGTAATATTGTTCTTTTCGTGGGATAATCATGGTATTATTCATGTAGTGTTCTTAAAATTGAATAGAACAGTACATGCACATTTAGACATTCAGCAGCTACAATCTGTCCATAAAATTTTGGTTGAAAAGTGCCCCGCGATTGTCAATAGAAAAATGTTGTTTCCTTCTATGGCAACATAATATCGCGTACAGGAAAAAAAATCCTTTGGAACACAGTTGGTCTCTCTCGAAAGCTCGACCCACCAGATTCACCTGACATTGCACCAAATGGTAATTACATTTTTCAATCTTTGCCACGTTTTTTGATGGGGAAAACTTTCGTTTTTTTCAAAAGTTACCTTGCACCAAAAGTTTTTACTCAGAAGTTATCGAAGTGCTTCTCAAAAAGTGGCAAGAAGTCACTGCAAACATTGTTTTAATTGATGTGTTTATTTTTATCGCTTATCAACCAATTGTGGGTTTTAAAGCCAAAACATTGTTTGAATTGTAAGAATAATTATTTTTTATGTGAATGAATACTGCATTAATTTTGAGAAAAACAATGATTTTTCCAGATGGAACTTCTACTGTTTAACCCATAGCTGGGTGAAGGGGATGGATTCATACCTTTCGCAAGGTTATTTGAGCGTAGGTGAATGTAACGAACACAATTGGAATACGAATTCGTCTTTCTAAAATCTAATTCCGTGTCGCTATGCAAATAATGGTTAATATATAATTGAATAAAATTTAATTCTACTTTATTTTCTGAAGAGTAAAGTTAATTAACAAAAACGTAAATTATTTATGACTCGATCGAATAAATCTGTAAGATCAAGTAATACCTGGTAATTTATCGAATTCTTAAACCGGTTTACTTGATTTTATTGAAGCATTCTATTTCTGAGAATGGTATTTAACCATTTGTGCGACTTTGTGAATAAAACATATCCGACTACTGAATAAATGAACAAAACAATAAGTCCAGCGAAAAGAGAGAGAAATATTTGATATACTTGTTAGACGTGAGATTTTGTTCCTTGTAGAAAGCGAATGTGTTTCCACAAGAATGAATCATGCAAAAAAACAGACAAAAAAACTGATGTTTAATTTCTATTGGTGACATTTTTAGACATGAGAAATCAACTTCACAGAAAATAGACTTGATTATTGTTGCTTCGCTTCGTTGCTTGCATAAACAGAAGGAAGAGAAAGCTTCAAGCTTCAATTTCTAATGGGTACCCCATAATATTGGCCTTGTGCCACATCTAAGCTACGCTTACAAAGTCACCATATATACACGACTGCATATATAGCGAATGGTAGGCACATCAACATGGTGTAATGGTTAGCTTACCTCGCTAGAATAATTACGACTGAGTAGCGAGTTCAATCCATACATTCAGACTGTGTCACATCTAAACTGCGCTTAGAAAATGACTAAGTGTACCACGACGTGGTGTAATGGCTAGCAAGCTTGTTTTGGCAGAACAATTACAACAGAATAGAGAGTTCAATCCATACTTTCGGCCTTGTGCCACAGCTAAGATTCGCTTTAGGAAATCCTCATATATACACGCCTACATATATAGCGAAGGGTGGGCACCTCGACCTGGTGTAATGGTTAGCAAGGTTGTTTCGCTAGAACAATTACGACAAAGTAGGGTGCTGGATGCTCTATATTTTCGGCCTTGTGCCACATCAAAGCTAAGCTTAGAAAAATCACTATAAAGAGTAAATAAAAAACAAAGAAAAGAAATTATTGAAAAAAATACGAACAGGTATAGACATTCCGTGTCTGCTTGAAGTGTGATCGATCAGGAGTTAATATGGGAGCCTTTAAATTTGCTAAATGGTGAGAATTGTACATAAAAAAATGTTGCTAAAAATCAAAAAATATATCTAGAAAAATATGGCTGAATGTGAAAAGATACACTAAGGGACAAAATCGTCATGACATTTTAAAAAGAAACCCTTAAAATAATTATGATAAGAACATGATTTTTTTTTATAGCGGAATATTCTATAAAATGCATACATATTTGATTTAAGCGAAAGCAACCACTCGAGAAAGGTCTCAGCATTGTAGAGATAACAAAATGACGATCAGATACTTTGTTGTTATACTGATGTTGAGATGACACACTTAAACACAATGTCAACAGTCAGATTTCGAGTTTCATTGAAGACATGTCAAATCCAATCGAAATGTTAGCTTTACAGAATCTTATCCGTTCCAACTGAATCAGTTTGTAAGAATAATAAAAAATAAAATGCGGTAAAATAATTTTTAAAATTTGTCTCTTCAATGACATACTCTTCTCTTCTGACATAAAATGAAAAACCAAAGATGAGATAATGAAAACTTCAAATTTAAAGAAAAGCAGTTGAAAATAAAACAGAAGAAATAAGAAAACAAACTGATAAAGACAGAAGAAAACAGATGCTGAAGTGAGATGAGAGGGAGTGAAAGAGAAGAAAGGTGAGAGGGAGTGAAAGAGAAGAAAGGTGAGAGGGAGTGAAAGAGAAGAAAGGTGAGAGGGAGTGAAAGAGAAGAAAGGTGAGAGGGAGTGAAAGAGAAGAAAGGTGAGAGGGAGTGAAAGAGAAGAAAGGTGAGAGGGAGTGAAAGAGAAGAAAGGTGAGAGGGAGGAAAGAGAAAAAGGTGAGAGAGGAGGAAAGAGAAGAAAGGTGAGAGGGAGGAGAGAAGAAAGGGGTGAGGGGAGGAAAGAGAAGAAAGGTGAGAGGGAGTGAAAGAGAAGAAAGGTGAGAGGGAGTGAAAGAGAAGAAAGGTGAGAGGGAGTGAAAGAGAAGAAAGGTGAGAGGGAGGAAAGAGAAGAAAGGTGAGAGGGAGAAAGAGAAGAAAGGTGAGAGGGAGGAAAGAGAAGAAAGGTGAGAGGGAGGAAAGAGAAGAAAGGTGAGAGGGGAGGAAAGAGAAGAAAGGAAGAGGGAGAAAGAGAAGAAAGGTGAGAGGGAGTGAAAGCGGAGACTGATGAGAGGGAGTGAAAGCGGAGACTGATGAGAGGGAGTGAAAGAGGAGACGAAGACAGATGAAAGGGTAAGGGAAAGAGGAGACGAAGACAGATGAGGGGGCTAAGTGAAAGAGGAGACGAAGACAGATGAGGGGGCTAAGTGAAAGAGGAGACGAAGACAGATGAGGGGGCTAAGTGAAAGAGGAGACGAAGACAGATGAGGGGGCTAAGTGAAAGAGGAGACGAAGACAGATGAGGGGGCTAAGTGAAAGAGGAGACGAAGACAGATGAGGGGGCTAAGTGAAAGAGGAGACGAAGACAGATGAGGGGGCTAAGTGAAAGAGGAGACGAAGACAGATGAGGGGGCTAAGTGAAAGAGATGACTAGTACATAAGAAAAGAGACTAAGATAGATAACAGGAAGATTAGAAAGGAGACTCGGACAGATGACACGAAGATTAGAAAGGAGACTCGGACAGATGACACGAAGATTAGAAAAGAGACTCGGACAGATGACACGAAGATTAGAAAAGAGACTCGGACAGATGACACGAAGATTAGAAAAGAGACTCGGACAGATGACACGAAGATTAGAAAAGAGACTCGGACAGATGACGAAAAAGTGGAGGATATGAACGAGGGAAAAGAAAGTTAGAGTGATATGGACGAGAGAAAAACAAAGTGGGGTGTGAACGAGGGAAAATAAAAAATGGGATATGTAGACGGGAGGAAAGGAGTGGTGGTTGTGAACGAAGGAAAAAGAGTGTGAGAGATCTGGATGAAGCTAAAAGATCCATCTCTCTCTCTCTATATATATATATATATATATATATATATATATATATATAGAGAGAGAGAGAGAGAGAGAGAGAGATATGTTGACGAAGGAAAAGAATCAGGAAGGGAGGTGTAAAAGGGAAAATGAATTAAAATGGTGGACGAAAGGAACAGAAGTAGGGAAAGGGATTTTATGCAAGAAAAAGCATAGGAACACAGGTGTGAAGTTAGAATTGCTTAAGAATAAAGATGCAACGAAATGGCGCACAGAAACACTGATTTGATAATGTGATTAATATACGTTCAAATTAATTATTTAATTACGAGCACATTTCTGCCTGAATTTTCTTACCGATTCACCGAATTAAGTGTCTTGAAATATATTCCAACGTCCAAAATCTGCAAATTTAACTCATGAAGAAAAAAAACAAAACAATTATTGATATAAAAACAGGTGCTGGAATAACCGTGTTAGACACATCACATATCCTGAAGATCAAAATTTAACAAGGTATTTGACAATACACATTGTAATAATTCATAGTTTATTGATTTATTTTCTACGGTTTATCAACACTTTGTAGGTTATTTAAAGCCAGAAAGTATTTTTCGATTGTAAGAAGATTTTCTTTTTGGAGATAATAACGATTCAATGATACAAGTTTTACTAATTAAGCTATAGGTGAGGGGAAAGTAGAAGGAACCGGAAATCCAATCCTAAACAGGAAACAAAGGATAAGCCTCCATTCCTGTTCAAAAGAGCGGGGAGAAGTGTGAACCGGTCGACAGACTAACTTATCTATTCTTACATGTGTGTGTGTGTGTGTGTGTGTGTGTGGTGAGAGAAAGAAGTTTTATTACTTACCCCATGAGTCAGCGCATGTCACTTGGTGAGGAAATTCGCTGTAGTAAAGCTGCGGTTCCCATGGCTTGTAAAATGAAACAGAGAATACAAAGGCGATTAGAAGAAAAAAAATATAAGAAAACGATAAAAACTCAAAACGAATTTACATTAAAAGACATTAATTTATATTACAATACTCGAATAAAATGATTTGATCAAACCACTAAGTATGAATATGTCAGACATGCATTACTTACATTCACACTATTGTCCCCATCTTTGTTGTTGTTATCACAACGCTTCGGCCGTTGTGCACTGCGGCCTTCTTCAAGTGCTCTGAACCGAATAAATTTCATGGAATCTCTACCTAAACCGCTTATATTTTTCTATGGGCGGTTTTCTTTCCGCTGGCCATGTCTAGGGATATCTTGTTTCGTTTTTATTTAGTACAGCTCAATTATTGTCTGCCCTGTTCCCACTAAGTCTTCACAGGCGAGCAATAATCAGTACTAAAGTGGAGTAATAAATAGCGGCTCGGAATGAGGAATCGGAGAGCCGAGTTCAAATTCCAGTCGAATCCATTACATTCACTTACGTGCTGATACCCTTGGGAAAGTTATGTATTTTTTTTCTTCTCCTCCCAGCTATGGGTAAATAGCAGGAAAGACCGGGTTCTATAGCTTTGGATGGTAACTGGTCTAACGCAGAAAGAAATGGCAACATACTGCGGGAAAAATATCTGCCTCGTCAGTCATGTATCGAAAGATACATGATCGCCTAAGCGTGTATCACGCATGGCATATAACTGACTAAAGAGAGAACAAGACGAGGAACAAGACGGTAGACAAGTACCTGGAGTAGACCGGAGTGCACACAAAAGCCGAAATGATATGATAGTAAGAACAAAGATGAGGACAATAGACCAAATGTAAATAATGTAAACAGCGAAATACCTTATTGCAGAAATTCAGACAGAAATCGTCAGATTAAACAATACGATCTTTGGATGATCTTTATGAGAATCAGCAAAATGACTTAACCCGTCACGTGTGAAAGATTCATATAGCTCAGATTGAATTTTCGAACTGACTAGAATCTGACCTTTGACATAGCCTCGACTGGGGATCCTTTCTGCCTGGAGGCAGATTGTTTGACCAGCACCACTGGAGAGGAATCTCCAACTGCAGGATATCTACCAACCGCCCCACACGGTCAGATGTGGCACAAGGCCGTAGGCTCGCTCAGAAATTCCCCGTAGACCCCGTATAAAATGGGGTCGGGTAGCTGTTTCCCGAGACGAGACTCTGTCCTTCGACATAGCCTCATCTGAGGATCCTCTCTGCGCAAAGGCAGAGAGTTTGACTAGCACAGCTGGGGATGAATCGCCGACTGCAGGCCAACATACAGTACTTAATATTGTATTTATGTGAATGGGGACATATCCATTATCGTCCGTACGTATGCTACAACAGTCCATATAACTGTGAACTTTATGATATGAATTTAAAAAGCATACATCATTGAGACGACTTTTCTGAATGCGTTTCATTTTTGCAGGATACAAAAGAAGAGTTTTAAATTGTTAGATATTTCTAAAAAATTAACGTATTTATTTCTTAATCCGAGATATTTTTATTACTTCAAACGTTATTTTTAGTGGATGCCCGTATTTGAGTAGACGCTCTGTCTCGACCAGTTGATGAAATGGGAATCGCCAACTCAAAAACGGTTACCCACTAAAAATAACATGTCGGATTAAAGGTTTAGTTGAGGTTTATTTTGTTTTACGGCATATCAACCTCAATGGGCTATTTAATATTGACAGCATTTTTAGGATAGATTCGTATGAATAGAATATGTATTCTTTGGTTTAGATTGGTTTGGTTTATTTTGTTTTATGGCTGGTAATATTTTGGTTTGTCAAAAATCTGTTTCGGGTAATATATTTCCTTCAAAATTGTATTGCTGGTAATAGTTAACTATTTTCCCATATCTGGGACCCTAATGGGTGCTACCACCCTGGGTCAGAGTGGACCTGGGAACATCAGCAATTAAGAGGTGGTTCCATGCTCCTCAAAGCCTCCTGATCAGAGTTCTTGCTGCTGGACATAGTTTAACGTCTTACCCAGGACGCGGATGTAGTTTAACGTCTTACCCAGGGCGACGGATTAAAGAACAAAATCAATAATTATTTAGAAATTGCTTTTTTTTCACAATATCTGTCTATATTTCTGAGATGACGTACTATGATTAATTGCATTGCTTACATTATTCGGACCGTTATCCTCATATTCATTGTCATATTCACAACGTTTCGACCATTTTACGCTCCGCTCAATCTGCGCATCAGTCGCAGTCGGCTCCGCTCAATCTGCGCATCAGCCGCAGTCGGCTCCGCTCAATCTGCGCATCAGTCGCAGTCGGTTCAATTGTATATCAGTCGAAATGCGCGCACGCGCGTGTGTGTCTATTCACATGATCACTTTAACGGACAATACTTACCTCCCGTTTAAGGATGTCGGTATTAATTTGACTTGTCGGGGCGTCACCTTTAAGGATTGTTTTCAATTTCAAGGTCTGAAATAAAATAAAAACAGGCTTTATCTTTCTTACCTTATAAAATACAACTAACATATAAAACTCAATTTTTCTGTCTCCCTGCTAGAAACGCCAAGATTATATACAATGGGGGGAGACAAATATTCGTACACATACAAATTTTTAATTTATTGTATTTCCAACTAATGAATAAACAATTTTCATTTAATTAACTGTACACAGATGCATAATAACGAAATATACAGAAAAAAACAGAAAAAAAGTTGACTGTATGTGTGTGTATATATATATATATATATATATATATATATATATATATTCTAGTAAATAAATACATTTTTATATTTATCAGTACGACCCAACGAAGGGAATATAGCAGACCGCGGCGTTTTATGCGGAGACAACTGTTCCAGTACTAAATCTATTAGTTTGATAAGGTCAAATTAGTAGCTGATCTAAAAAATGACCTACAATTTACTGTTAACTGGAGCAAGGAATGACTTGTTAATTTCAACCCCGCCAAAATGAAACTTTGCTATTAATCATGTGAGAGACCCATTTCTGCCTTTTATCAACATGTCTAATTCTGACCCCCCAGGAGAGTGATTCGTTTCGCTTTTTGGGCTCACATTCTCTGCTGACATAAAGTGGGAAGATTGTACTAAATCAGTTGGTAGGTCAGCTGCTATAAAAATATGGTCCACTGTGTTATGATAAACAATTTTTATCTCCAGAAATTATCTAGCATATTTATAGGTTTACCATTCATCCATGCATTGAATATTGCTACCACATAGGGTCTGGTGCTTCTGCTATATATTTAGAGATTCCAGATAAAATCCAAAGAAAAATCTGCAATGTTATTAGTACTGAATTGGAATCTCGGCTTCAGTCACTTCCCCATTGCCATAATGTATCTTATCTGTGTCTTTCTTATAAATATATATGTATGTAAATATAAAAGTGAACACTGAGGTCAACAGCAAGTTGCGACAGTCTCTTTCATACTTGGATCGCTATATATATAAGTTTGTTGCAAATAACTGATAAGGTATGCATGTTTAATTAATTACTTTCCCAATTTTTGAATGAGTTGTGCAAAATTAACGAAGTAATCAGTATCAAAATTAAGGATAAAATGTCCGAAGTTCATATTTGTACTGTTGTTTGTTCGAATACTTTCGAATGTCTTACTCATTTTCAAAGAAACAATGTGGGGTCTGCGATAGTTTGATAATAATACGCAAAAGCTTATTCAAAAACTGTAAAAATACAATAAATAAATCAAGCAGACAGACTTTGTCAGTTCTTTTTAATTAAACTTGTTTGAATATTTGCAGCATAAATAATAACAAAAATACTAAAGAACTTTGGATTATTTACCTAACGAGTTCTTTCCTATTTTCTATATATTTTTACACACACACACATATTATATATATATATATATAAATAATGCTATGCAGACATCATGATAAAATTTATATGGTGAGTATAATGAAGTTTTGAAAAACGCAAGTGTCAACACAAAAGAACTGTAAATATCGGGGACGCATTAAATTGTTTATGCTCCCTTGTACAATTTACAAACTTTCTCTACATTTTAGAGTCGTCAAACAGTACAATATATTAATCCATCCTTCATATATATATATATATATATATATATATATATATATATATATATATATCTCCGTAATGTAGCTTTCCTGTGCATTTTATATAAATACGTTCAGGGTAATTGTTCTACTGAACTTTCCTCAATGTCACCTATTTCATCGTAGTAGTTGATTGACAGCAAGGTATCCTCGATTTACAGTTGAATTGCAGAAATGCAATTTAAGTAGATGCAATTTCTATGCAAACAGTTTCTTCTCTCTTTCTCGCTTGTTGAACTCTCTTCTGGCTTCTTGCCTTCCAGCCAACTTTGACCCTCATGCAATGTTACTTAACGACCTTGAAAACTTAATACCCAAGGCAAAGCTCTGTGTGCTGCACTGGATAGGTGTCGGTTAGCGACTCGATAAGAAGATCCATCTACCATACTTTGAATATTGCTGGGACATCTGGTCTGGTGTTCCTGCTATATAGCCTGCTATATATTTAGAAATTCTTGGTAAAATCCAAAGAAGTTAATGCGCAAGATTATTGGAATATCGATTTTAGTCACTTTCCCACCGCCCTAATATACTTCCTTTGCAACTTTTCTATAAATACTTTTATGGTAATTGTTCGGATGAACTCATCGCTATGGTATTTAGACTATGAATTTAAGCGCAGTACGAGATTGACAGCAAGGTACCACCAATTTACAGTTGGCTCGATGCAACCGTAGATTCTGTGCTAATAGTTTCTTCTCTCGCACTTCTCGCTTGTGAAACTCTTCTACGTTCTTGGTTTCCAGCCAACTTTGATCTTCAAAAATGTTAATGCAATTATCAATGATTATTTATGGTCCTCTTGATTGCTCTATTGTTTTCGCTCCTAAATAATATTTTTTTTTTTTTATTCTTTCCTAATCAGTAAGACCTTGTGTCTTTAGTAGCTTTACTGATTTGCTTGGATTGAAATGATTAAAATAAATCTGACGCGTACTGGTTGCAAAAACAGCTCAGCTCCTTGAACGCTTTCCCAGTGGGATGACTCGAGTATCAGAAACTGACTCTGCTACCCACTCTTAGGGTAACATAAATGTTCTATCTTTTCGAATTCTGCTGGATGTGACTTGTTTGAAAAAGCACATAAAAATGTTACGCAAACAAACATTGCCATACGATGTTAATAATATATCATTAAACGTTTATTTCTTATAATAAAGTGAAACACAAATTCGTTTAAAAGTTCGAAAGACAAGACCCTGCGATAAAATATAATGGGTTTTGAACCGCCTGAACCTGATTACTACGGACTTTTGCAGCAACAGTCTGAATAATTCATTTAGTGAGATCACTTTATACACGAATAGTTCAGAGAAAACAGTAGGTAAGTAATATACATATCGTGATCTTCTTCCTGGGATATTTGAACAGCACCCTATGGACGATAGGGTTCGTGTTTCCCAAATGACCTTTATAGTCAGGTTTTGGGAAGCGGATCAACCGAGAACCTTTCGAAATCGCCAGATATAGATAGCAGAGTAGATGAGAATCTCTAGCCTTGGATGGTAGGCAGCCTGGGAGAACGACAAGTGAATTTAAAACTGCGGTGAAGGTAAGAAGCAAACCCGATTCAAAATTTAAAAAAGTTGAAATCCGTGGAGATATATATATATATTTACATACAAAGAATAATCACACATAGAATTAATCAGAAGTATCAATGCGATTATTGGCGACATCCATCGCTAGAAAACATAATATATGCATTAAAATCCTGTTCATCCATAGTGCGAGTTTTGATCCTTGAAGAAAAACTTGTTGTCTGTAGTTTTTCAGTTTATTTGATGTTAAAATGCTAGTACTTACGGACATATGATTTACATACAAAGAATTCTTTGTATGTAAATCATATGCTGCCTAATGTTTTATGTTTATTAAAAACTATCGATCCGCAGTACATAAAAAAAATTCCTATAAAAAATTACTACTATGACATTACACTATATTATTGAACTATATACTTAGTTCATGACATAAAAAAACTTATACACTTGTAAAAAATAGAATACGTGGATTTAACACATCACAAGAAATATTTAAATAAAATTCTCACTTAAAATTTTTGAAAAACTTAGCGTTGCGTCTTTGCACGTTCCGATATCTTACAACCGTCAATAATAGCAGATATTCAAAAAACATCTTTCGGTCGACATACAGGTATATCGTCTCAAGTTTTTGATTTTATAAGGAAAAAGAACACATGCCTGATGATGGATGGAAGACCGTCCGTAAGTACTAGCATTTTAACATCAAATAAACTGAAAAACTACAGACAACAAGTTTTTCTTCAAGGATCAAAATTCGCACTAT